TTCTTATTTTGCACAATGAATGAATATTCCATACGATGAAAAGTATTGTATTTCATGTCTCCATCTGCTGGTGGGCCATCATGATAAGAGTATGCATGCATAATATGATATTAATTCCACTACAGAAGAGACTTAATGATCACTAAAATTAGGTGGAGAAAGAAGTGGATATATCGATATCGGTATCGATTATCAGTCAAATGAGTTGTTAGGCTACATACCAGCATTTCAGATATCAGCAAAAAATCCAATGTCATGCATCCGTATTGTTATTTCAGGTCCATGATGTCATGGATAAGAAGTCCGCAGGATCTGCACAATGCTGGCCAATAACATATGGTATTTTTTGTGTGATTTTTTTGCAGATATTTATCATACAAAGCACTTTGACTAATTTTCTGGTATTGATTTTATCCATAGACATAAACTAATAGATGTGTTGTGTCATAATGGCCATTGTGGGATGAAACTACAAGGCAGTCACTTTACCTGGGTCCAGTTTTAAACTTGCTGTATTTAGGACATATATTGAAAGAAGCTTATGTTGTTTTTCTAAGACTTGTATTTTTCTATCAATATTATGATACAGTTTTTTATTCAAAATAATGAGCGTAAGACAACTATGCCTGTGTAAATGAAGCAAAAAACAAAGACTCCCGTAAAACTTTGATTATTATAGATCCAAGAGAACAAATCATGCTTTTAATAATGAAAATAATCTCATTATTGTGCATTTATATTGCAGACAATTATTTAACTATTTTCAATTTTGCCTGAACTTGACATGTAAGAACTGTCTTTGGTATTCTGAATGGCTAATGTGCTACATTAAGTAAAATCTTTTATGCAGAAATCCTAAATAGATTCAGTATCATTATAACACAGCTGGCTTGCTAGATTTGTCTTGGGATATGATGAAATGGGATTTAGGAGTGAAGACAAGCACTTCTCCTTGTCTTTAACATGTTGTGTGTTTACTTTACACTTGATTGGCATGGATCAGCTAAGACCAATCACCAAAGACTTTCACATTTCTCATACTTATGTGCACATGTAAATAAATATTCTTTTCTCTCAGAACAAGTCTCTCCTGATTGAACTAAACATTACCTGTGAGCTAAGTTAGCATAGCTAACATTGAAACAATGTTTGCTGGTTATAATTTTTCTTTTAGCTATCAGATCTGTGCTGCAGAGAGCTAGCAATCACTTAGAACTCAGCTGATACGTTACTTGGCAGCTAACGGTGAAGTTACCTAATTCACTAACTTTATGTAGTTTTAGTTGACCGACGTAAAAAAAAAAAAAATCTCTCATCTACTCCATACCTACATGTGGAAAATGAAGCCAGCCTCCCTCTCTCGTAAAGCAATTAGAAGCTGACAGCCAAAGTTGCTGTCCACAGGTGGCAACTGTAAACAACCCAGATAAGATGATGGATGGTTATCACATGAGTTATGACATAATATTACATCTAGTGTTTTATATCTACAACTTCAGCCATATCAACATAATGTAACAGTTAATCTCTCGGGCAAGCAAGTGCCAATGCTAATCTTTGTGCAAATCAAATCTCTGCCCACATCTGTGAAAGTAAACCATGACTCAACAACCATAACTCAAATCCTGCTAACTAAAAGGTGTTTTTCTTTTGGAAACAAACAAAGATATGTTACAATTACTCTTACTAAATCGCATCAGTGTTTACTAGCTTGCTTGTTCTTTTTTGTCTTGCCTTTTACAGCACATTGCCTTTTTTATTGTAGCTTTACTGCCAGCAACGGTTATTTGTGGAATAGCGTGAAATTGGCGGCTGGAACATGTATTGCAAAAACGAGAACCCACTGTTCAAAACATTGTTCCACAGTGCCATTAGTGGTGAAAAGTTTTTTAAAAAGCCATACAAAGTTATGTTCTCTATACCAAATTGTAACTATTCTAATGTATTCTTTTATAGTGATTTCAAAATAACTTTGCAAGAATAAAATATGACGTGGAGCTGACAATGAAGACATATTTTCGTCATCAGTTTCTGAGATGTCATTATGCCACATACTTCCTTCCACCAATCAGAATTTAGCAAATATAAAACTCTAGTTGTTCATTAGTTCATCATGAAGATTAATATTAATGAGAAATATATACTATATGAAATAATAAGATAAGAAAGTGATAAGATAGGAAACTGAGTTGTCAGGCGCTTTAAGATAAAAAACTGTAAGATGATGTCCCAGCACATACAATGTATATGAAGATGGACAGCATGACAGCTCCCCAAAAGTAAAGTCAAAACAATACAACCCCCCCTGGTGGCTGGCTGCAGTATAGACAATAAACCCCACCCTCTTTTTGGCAGATGGGACATGGGCCAAACTTAAAAATCAAAGTACACACGTTTCTAAAAATGGTTTCCATCATTTCAGGTAGTTCTTACCATGCTCACGTTTAAGTATTCATTTTTCTGTTAAGTGTTGTTTTAATAGGTTATTTCATACAATAAATAAATGCAATAACAGGGGGTTTAACATCCTGATTTACAGCTGTGCCTGCCAACTGGTGATTGGCATCACAGCGCTGCTCATGATTGGGTCAGGTGGGTGTATGGGCAGGAACTCCATACTGCGGCTCCACCTCCTGATCACTATTGCACAGATTTGGGCTCCAATGACATCACCAATGCTAGATGACAGCACCCATGTCTGGGTTATTTTGGCTTCATTTAAAAAATATAATAAAATTTCCATAAATGTCACTAACTGATAAGAACCTTTGTCAGCATCTTGTTAACATTGTGTCATACCAACAGATTCATTCGATCAAACAAAAAAAAAAAAATCAAAGAATGATCTCATCCTAAAAGGACATATGAATGTACTTGACTTCAGCTAAATGAAATAATTAGAAAACATCCTGTGTTCCTTTATAATAAAAGTAAGATATGTTTTTTTCTATAATGAATTATCAAGCTGAGGGAACTTTAAAGCCTAATGTTTTTCATGCTGTACAAAAAAATGCCAACAAGAAGACTGTTACTGCCTGTCCAAACACGAGCAGATATACTGTATAGAAAAGGGTCAACATATATGTGATTGGCACTTAAAGCAAACATCAGTATGATCCCTTAATACTTTAATTCCTCTAAGTCAAAAGTATGACACCCTGACATGTAGGCAATATCTACCTGTCTCCATACTTTTACATGTACACGCTTCGTCATCAATATGCACAGGCGTCCTTTCACTGAACCCAACTTATGACTGCACAGCTCACCTCACTAGTGCTGCAGCAGCAGTAGCAGCCCAGCAGAGAGAATAGGTAAAAGAAAAGGAAATGCAAGAAGCTACCTACTACACATCTCTACTGCCACTGCCAAAGGCTCTGACATAAGCATCCAAACTCCACAAAGCACTGGATTGGATTTGTGTCACAACTGTGTGGAGTACGTACATGAAACAGAAAGGGAGTAAAGACGCACAACAGAACTTAGAGAGTATGTGAGGGTCACAGGAAGGTAAACAGAGAGGATAGAGACAGAGAGCAGGCAGAGCAAAACTGAAAAACTGTGATACACAATACCAATGATTCAAAGCTGGGAGAACTCTTCCTCGTCTGATTGAAACATCCAGGACAAGCAGAAGCATGGTAGACAGGGAGGGGGCTAATGTACAGCCAACAATCCAGGCAGAGAACAAAACACACCTTTAACATGCACTTTAATTCTCCCTGCCAGACCCACACAGAGAATAAAGACTCCTCCTGCCTTCCCTGCAGCTCACACAGAGAACCAGAGAGCAGAGCTCAGTAATCAAATCAATGTAAACCTGATAAGTGGGCTGGCAGACAGCGGACAGTCAGAGAGTCCGGTGCTCTGCAACTGTACAGTGTCACATATAATATAGATGCATGTTTTTATGGTACTGTCAGGGTCATGGGTCTGCAGAGTGGCATCAGTGAGTTCATTTATTTCATCTTACGAATGTTTGACTTTGCAAATCTCTGCAACTGGAATTGAATAAAAAAAAATAGGCTAATATGTTTGTTGGTAGTTAATGTGGATTTGGAAGTTACATAGCAGCCCAGATTTACATAACTTTAACAGGACCATCTTCAGCATCAGGTTCAATTTTGGAGCAGTGCATCCATATGATTGATGTGGACTGTTAGTTTAACCCTCATCATCTTAATCTTAAAGATGATGCTGATGCTGATGCTGATGAGAGGACCTCTTCCTCTCCAGGTCTTCTTCTTTTAATGGAGGGGAAGGAAAACGTGTAGTGTGGTAGGTGTGGGTGTTTATGCAATTCACAAAATAAGTATCACTTTTTGACTGAGCATGGTGAAAGGATGTGCATGGATGCTGATGCTGACCCTACAGTGTGTCTGTACCAACTCCTGACGGATGAGCTGCTCAGTGACACTACCTCATCATATGCACCGCGTGTCTTATTTGCATAAAATCGCTGGGTAGCCCCTGGCCTAAAATATGAGTGACAGCTCAGGGTATTAGATTTCTAATCTAGCCTCCCAGCTAGCTTGTTCATCAAATCAAACAGGGCAAGACAGCTGACGACACACACCAGACAGACAGAAAAAAACACACTTCTGTCTGTCTCTTCTCGGGGTAATAAATATTACAGTCATCACGGAGGTCACGGTCAGTGGGAGAGGCAGCGTTACCCGACAGGGGCAGAGACATAGCGGACTGGTGCTGTGGCCCCGGCGAATGGATGGGAGCCAGAGCTAGCCTGCCTGCTGCTAACTTAGCCGTGTTAGCTTAGCTGTGCTGTCTGGCGCAGCTTGGAAAGCAGCCCCAACTCTAAACAGCAACTTCAACCGTCTGGCCCAAAGTCAGACCCCACACCGGACAGCCTGACTAGCGTTTAGCCACAGCAGCTAGCATAACCAGAACATTCCTCCAGCCGCCTACGACTACAGCATTGTGCATTTTAAAAAATACAACATTGTAGAGAAATAACTAATAAAATGTCGCAGGCTTCCTACCTGTAAATGCAGTCGCTAACGTGCTAAGTCGCCGTGTCTGCTTGCTTAAAGTCTGTGATGTTGTGTTGCTAGACGTCAAGTCCAACTGCACTACAGTGGTTTCCAGTCTGGGAAGCAAAATAAAGCTCAGCTGCCCTACTGTACAGTACATGCTGCTGACAGCCGCGCTCAACGTGAAGCTTTGGCGACACCTGCAGGCCGCAGTGCGTACAGCAGCCCACTGGTATGATGCCTCATTATTTCTCAGGTCACAGGTCAGGATCAGATGTGCAGCAGCAGCCCCAGTGTTGGAAGCAGTTCAATGCTTTGCTTAAGAACATTTTATAAAGGTGGCTTTCTTTTCGATTGTTCAAAGGCATTTCAGTAGGACAGATGTTCCTGTAAGTAAGTAAACTATATTTCTATAGTGCCTTTCATAAATCATAGTGACTGGGTGTGACACGAGGGCACAGAAATTACAGGGACATTTTAGGGAGATTCAAAACATGGAAAAATAAACAAACAAAAATAAAACGAAACATTTTTACGGAAAAATCCTTAAAAGGATATAAAGATATCAGTCTATACAAGTGTGATAATGGGAGCTATGGCAGTAAAAGCATGTCTAAAGCCTGGGCCGTTGAACTTTGAACATGAGGATGTCAGAACTGAGGGGTCTTGGTCATGGATGGATTACTGAATGTGCCGACCAGGCGCAGGCCCAGGGGCCAAAAGTGTCAGGGGGGTCCCTCGCCTTCACCTACAAAAAGGTCACTTGAAGATACACGTACCAGAAAGACTAGAAAGAAACTCTAAATGGCTACAAAGAGACACAAAATGACCACATAGATGCAAAACTAGAGACCCAAAACCACAGAGAGATGTGACTACGAAACCACAGCAAAGATGCTGAACGACTTAACAGTCTGTGTGTGTCTTGCTCCTACAGTAAGTAGTAGAGGTGGTGGGGCCTCCTGCAGGTTTGTACCTAGGGGCCCAATGTCTCATAATTCACCCATGGTCTTGGTGCAGAAGATGGAGTTTTACAATTTGAAATGTACAGCAGAGCAAAACCAGATAGGAATTTAAAGTAATTAATAGATCCATAAAATGAATTCATGTGACTTCATGAAATACAGTAAAAGTGCAATGTCATTCTCACTTTGTCTTTAATATCACCAGCAATAATTTGCTGCAGGCATGTTATCAAACTTGCCATCATAACTTTAATTAGTGCGGCTTTAATCCTGTTTTATCTTTTAGTTGGAGTTTTAATGTTTATGTGAGTGTTTACTTGGTTTGCTTTTTGTTCTCTGTACACAGGACACTGATGATAAATCAAAATTAAGACAACAAACAAAATAAACCCCACCAGAGCCCAGTCAGAGCTACACAGGGGAACAGAAAGCTACCTGTCAACCATATTTCTTTCATAAATTATTTTTTTCACCCAATAACTACCCCTCTGACAGCAATATGACTTGAAATTATTAGACAGCCAAGCTATTTATCACAAAACTTTATTCAGAATGTGTACAAACAATATATTACATTATATACTATTTAAAGCATGTGCAAACTGTAAAACACAAACATGTCAGGACAGTTGTCAGGGCATGTCTAAGACAACATACTGCCTTCATATTAAAACTTGCTCTACTGGCAGGAAAATAATGCTCAGCTCTAGTGTTTTTCATTTTCAAATTATTGTCACAATGTGTGGCATCTAACAGGTTAACAACACATCCTTGATGAAGTTTACGTACATTTCCCCCACATGCCATTCCAGTCCCAGAACACATTACGGATGTGAATCCAGTACCCCCAAGTAATTTTGGCCATTTGCCCCAGAGCCAAAAGAGGAAAAGGGGAGCTAATTTTCTGTGACTGGAACAGTGATTAACACTGTTTTGCCATGGTAACCATACTAAGCAGGCCTGGCAAGCTGCCGAACAAAAACCCCACCAGAGGAAACTCTTTTAGCATGTAATAACAATCATTAACCATCCTAATGTTGCTGTGAGCTGCATTGATCATGACTAAATTAAGTACATCTGGACTGTTTGGAACGAGTCTTGGAGGTTGCTGGAAGTCAACACATGGTGATGACAAAGGCCACTGTGCAGGTGGGCTCTGCATGACGGGGAGCCATTTCCATAGAAACCACACCACAGAAGATGAAGAATTTTTATGAAATGTGGACAGACCTAAATTTGAAAATGAGAATCTATGTGAAAAACAGAAACAAGAAATCAGGTTTGGGACAAAAACAAAAATGTCCAGGACCCTTTTTTCAGATTTTACCATCTAACATGGCAAAAAACACAGTATGGCACAAAAAAATCCCCACAGCCATGTTACCAAACAAGAAACAAGAGACAATGGCATTCCTTTGTGGCCAACTCAAAGTAATCCCTGACGTATCCCTGGTACTGCTACTGTCTGACAGAGGCCATGGCAACAACAATGCTGCCTTGTGACATGACTCAGGGATAAGGCAAATACCAGATCCAGAGTGAAGTGACAAAAATCATTAGCTCTGTGAAATGTCAGAGTGCTGCAGACTAATTGTGAGCATGTCAGACCAAATCATTCAGCTTCAGGCACAAACAGGCACAATCATTTTTTCATGGGCCAGCTGAGGACACCTGTGCCACATCCAGAGGCAGACGGGGCTGTGTTGGCAGGAGAGTCTCAGTCAGTTAATCAGCTACATATCTCTAAATATATCTTTAGAGCTTTATCTCCAAATAAGATGACAAGGAAGGAGTTGAGTCTGTGGTTGCCTTCATTTGATCCTTAGCAGTTTTGCCTTTTCCCCTCTGTTACTCTGGTCTGTCCCGTGACGAACCGAACAGGGAAGAGCATCCACCCAAAGCCAGCCAGCCAGCATGAGGAGGTGGCGTAGGATGGTAGATTCAAGGCAATGCCTCACCGGTCAGCTGAATAACAAGACTTCCACTTGTTTCTGACTGGATGAGCAGCAAGCCAGCGTGTCTGCCTGCAGCACTGGGCTTGAACTGGACGGGCAGCTTCAGATAGTGCTGCGATCTAATGGGTGGGTGAGAATAACGACAGGTAGATTATAGACAATTATTTTAATTTGAAAGGCTAAGCATGAATACACAACACGTGTACCAGCACAAATACACATGCATTTTTACATAAAACTAAAACCAAGTACTTAGGGTTGCACTTAATGACTCATGACAGACTACGGCAAAAAAATAGCCTTCAAACACTGTATTCAAAAAGGAAAACTCTCTAACGCACAAATTGTTATGGCATAATAAATGGACAGTAAATGGGGCAGAGGTACATCATGTTCAGTGTGGATGAGTACGTGACAAGAGCCACAACATGCTGCACTTACCACAATGCTACCACAAATTCACACACAGCAGTGCTCACAACACACCTACTGTAGGGCTGGGTCAGGTTCAGGTTGTGGCAGCACATGGCAACATTGAAGATGAGTAAAGTCATGACATACAATGGTACGTCTGACAATGCTTTATTTTGGTTAGGAAGTAAGTAAAGAATTTTTTTTTTTTTCCCCCCGTACCACTCTTACATTGTTTTTTTTTCTATTTCAACAATACAAAACACATGTTGTGCCCATTCTGAACACAGTCCCACACCAGCAGAGCACAGGCACAGCTGGTACCTGTGGCCAGGCAACCCCTCCCAAAGGACTTAGTTAGGCAAAACATCGGCACTCTTGGATGCCTCAAGTGTGTACCGTATATAGTAACATCATCCTGCAGGTCCAAACATCTCACAGGACCTCCCACAGTGAGCAGTTGCAATGGGAAAATAACAGTACACAGACTTAAAGTTACATCACAGAGCATGTTTTGAGTTGTATTTACTACTCCTGACTAAACATTAATACTTAGCTATTGACTTTCATTAGAGAAATCTATGTAGAATAGGGATGGGTACCGAAACCTGGAATTAAACGGGCCCCTGGGTCGAAATATTAAAGATCATAGTATTGATAAGCTCTGACGTTAACAGTCTTGCTATTGGTATTGATATTCCTCACTATATGAAGTGACTGATAACAAGATCTGTATAATGGATTGTAAAGAAATTCTTCAAGTTTTTATTTTGTAGACAATTGATCTGTATTTAAAGCGTGATGGGATGACAGCACAATGATGTGTGTGGTCCTGCGCTTTCATGTGATATCCCTGGCATTTCAGTGCGAGCCTGCGTTTGCAAGTAATCCATCCAAGAGTAATGTGTGTGCAAAGCTCTGTTATACATAAATTTATTGTAATTTTTCGCTGTGAAAACATTGGATTACCGACAAGTGCTTGGTCTTGTCGGAAAGCTACAATTCTGCTGTTTCCGCTGATATGCGTGGCTGCTCGCTATGACGCACGGTCACAGAGAAAATCCAGAGAGAAGAACGGGTGTGAATTTGGACGCACTATGCGTTGTTCGGGCCCATAGTCTAAACTTCTCAGTTTCAACATTTTATTGAAAACATTTAGGAACAGTGGTGCACGTTAACTTTTGTCTGCATATTGTTTTTGTCACCATTGTTGCTGAGTCTGAGGTGCGAGTCATGCGCTCTGGCTCCGCCTCCACCTCAGGTACCGAAATTTGGCACTGTTTCATTTTAAGTGAATCGGTACTCGGTACTGTTCTTTTGAGTTACTTAAACATTATCTTGTACAGTTTTTATCTGACCAACTCCTTCTCTAATTTGCAGATATTGTAAGTCATTCGTCACTAATGCATTTTCGCCATTCATTCCAGAGGTGAGATCTCTGTATCAGAGCCTCACAAAAATGAACTGCAGTAACAAGTCAAAACAGAGGTGGGCACTAATTATAAAGACAGATTATAAACCTCTGATTCCCAGTGTGTCACCCCAGGTACTATTAAAAGTGCAGAATGGAGAGTTTCTGTCAGGCATAATGACCACTGGACTCACCTCAGGGAATATTTGGAATGCTTGATGTGGAACGGCTCCATAGGGTTTACAAAATTCAGCTGCAAATCAATTAGAGAAGCCACACATCAAATATCAAATCCATGCAAAGCACAATGACAATTGTTAGGGGTTATCGCATTTATGACAGTCATGCTATTTGTATTAGCAATATGGAATGCCAGTATACACAATGTGAGCTAGTATCAGCACTGTTACTTAGAGGGTAACGTCAGTATTTTTCAACCTGGCACCTGTCTTCCGACATTTTGTGTCTGTCAGCAATGATGAAATGGTCTGCAATGTAACCACTCTGGTGCATTTGTGCACCGTTGATGGACGTCCACTGAAAGTACTTTCATTATTTGAAGTGTCTGACAGCATTATGGAAGTGATCCCTACAAAGATAGACCTTTTGGTTGAAAAGACTCTTTGTTTAACCAAAAACAGCCCTGATATCACTATTGCCACACCCATTAAATAAACAGTAGTTTAATCATCATAAAGCATACTTTATTCAAAGTTGACAGAAACAAACACACAAACAAAAACAAACACAAAAGCCATCTTGGTTTGTCTTCACACTCTTCCAACTATTACAACTCTGGTCTGGTTAAAATAAACCCTTAATTCGCCCAATTAGACAAGAAAAAATGCTGGCTCTGTATACACTAAAATCACTGTTGATTTAAATGGGGTCTGGTGAGGTTGGCAATAAGGATTTCAGGGCTCTTTCTGGTTTAACAAAAAGGATCTTACTCTTTAAAAAAGGACCTATCAGAGTAGGGATCATTTCCATAATGCTGTCAGACATCTCAAATAATAATCTGAGCTTGTCAGTGGAAAAAGAAAGCACTTTTGGTGGATGTAAATTGACGGTGCACAAATGCCCATACTGGTTACAAAGATACCAAAGTTGCTCTTAAACCCTCTACCTCTTTTTAATACACTGAACCTTTATGTCCAAAATGACAAGGTCTCATTGCCAGTGACAACTAAAACTAAACAAAAACTTATCTTAAAACTATCTCTCAAAGAGCCCCTCACTTTAACTCTAACAGCAGATCTTTAGCTGAAATACATATAGTGCTGCACATGTATATACTGGATTTCAGTTTCTGGTGCAGTAGGTGAGAAAGAAACATTTTTTCATCCTATGTCTTCATAAGAATAAAGCATGCCTCACCTCATGCGTGCTGGACGAGTTGTTGCGGATGTTGACCTTCAGAGTGCTGGACTCACTCACTCGTGTGGCTGGGAAGGTGTAGAGATCCTGTGGAGAATATACACCTCTCCGCACGGCATCCTCTTGACTGAGAAATTAATAATTGTGTGTTTAAACAGACAGCATCGAAACAATCAGCACCTAAAGATGAGCAGTTACTACAGGGAATTTCTGAGTCTCTTAATGAATGTTGATTTAAAATAATGACCGTTTTGAAAATTAATATATTCATAACTTTGATGTATTTAGTAGTAGTAGGCTTGTTTAGTTAAAGCAGGTATCACCTGGTTTTGCCTGCTGTGACATCAGCCCTCTTCCTGGTCTTGACTGTGGCCTCTGTCTTCACCAGAGAGCAGTCTCCTTCCTGTGGTCCTTCCACTGGTCCAGACTTTATTCCCTTTAAACACACAAACAACACTTTAGAATCTTGGCGAGTTAGTGCAAAAAACTATACATCTTCTAAACTAGCTGGTGAGAAAAATCAACTGAGGAGAAACAGCCTCTACCAACTTTCAAGTACATCATGCCAGCCCACTGAAATTGGTGTTACTGATTATGAGACACTTTACTACTAAATTCACCACTAATTACATGCAGACATGATTAAAAACTACATGTGAACATATCACACACATTTAGTTCCTCATCAGACTGTCAAATCAAAGTCTTGCAAACTGGAGTTACCAATTAGCATTTAACACCACTGCAGGATTTGGCACTCCACTTTAACACTTTATCTAAGAAACAAGGTAACAACAACAGAAGCCCTACCATCATAGTCACTTAACCTACTTATGTGGAGCCATCTATCTGACATCCCACTTGCTGTGTATGTATGCTCTTAAGTTAACTGGGTCTGTCACAACACTTCACATTAAAGCGGCGCACACACGAAGCCTGCAGGCTCATCTCAGCAGGGTGGCTCTCCTTACCATCCCACAGCCCACTTTTCTCATTTGTTAATTCTGTCACTAACACTACAAAGCCATAGTCAGAGTACTACCGTAGCATGCTTGCTTTAAAAAAAAAAAAAAAAAAAAAATGACTACGGTCATGACACATTCCCATGCTTTAAAGTGAGGATTTTCCATCATGAGCAATTATTAAGTACATGTGGTTTGCTTTGAGAGTAAAAAAACAAGTTAATTTGTGAATGAATCATTGTTTGTTTCACACACTGACTGATAGAGATGGTGGATTAAAGTTAGTCTAATGTAGGTTTAGACATGTTCCTGCTGTTTTGCTGGGAGAGAGGTATGAAAATTAATAAATGAGCCCTCACAGTGCCACACAGTTGGAAGCGAACTCTGGTTTTCTGCTGGGGCTCAGACACCGGGTGGCACTCCAAGTCCCAGAACTGGGCATAGTCCCCTCTGTCCCTGGGCAGGAAAGTAAAAGGCACCTGGGAGAGCAAGAAAAACATTTAAGGAAATACTCAGAATTGATTTAACCGTATAAATGCTTGTTACATGTTCTCAGAGGCAAAGCTTTAGGAAAATCAAACTTGTCCACTGCCTCATGACTCAAAATAGTTTTAATGCTGCAAAGTTTCCAGGACGAATATAAAGTCAGTCCAGCTTGAGTGCAACTAGCTCATAAAATCAATCAAACTAAATGCTCAAAATGATAAAGAACCAAGTTTCACAGCAGTACTTCTTCAAATAAAGCCCAAGTACACTACCCTGGATTTGCTGTAGTGCTGTTCCTCCTGTGAATATTAAGACTTGTGAGTTTCAGTAATGACTGCATTCTATTCAGATGTACCACTTCAAAAGCCCTAGCACTGTTTAAACCGTTTTGCTGGCATGCTAACTGCCACACCGAAAAGGAGCAGAACCATTAGTGTTATCACTGTACTCCTGCGTTTCCTTCTATGGCAGACAAAAATGGAGAGAGGACTATCTTTAATGATGCCCACATCAAAATATTTTTGATCACAATACTGTGATTGACACATGCATTAACTCTGTCTGAACCCTTTCTGATGACTTGCTCTAAATAATCCTGACAATTCTTGATGGATGTGAGTGCCTACCTGCATCTTCTCCAGGGCTCCCAGAGTGCCTGAGACCCTGGAGCATCTGAAAGCTGTGTAAGTGGCCCGGTAAACATCTCCAGTGTTATCAACCCCCTGAGGAGAGAGAAGGGACCACAGCTTGACCTGAGTCACTTCTATCACTCAACGGCCAGTAACAACACAAAACAACAAGATAAAATACAAACTCCTGGAGTGTAAACCTACAAAGTAAACTCATTAATGAAGTGACAGAAGACAAAAAGAACTTAGTTTACACAGTGAGACAAGCTAAATTAAGAAAAAAAGAAATAAACTATAAAAGAAATAAAACCATTTGATTCCCGAGAAGGGAAAATAAAGGACAGTTAACAGAGTGGAAGAGTTGACAGGAGAAAGAGATAATAATAAGAACATCATAAGCAAGAAAAGCACCTTGACATATGGAGGAGCGAATGATGACAGGTACCATCTCACTTCCACTTCTCCATTCTGCACCTCCAGCTGGGCCTCTGAAGTAGAGGAGCAACAGACACTTTGAGTCTCCCACAGGAATACTCACACAGTACACTGCCTCGAGAGTATGACTAAAACCGCGTCAGTCTGAAGATGGAAAAGATTTTTTACTGAAACATTATCAGGTTTTGAGATAATTCTTTTAAATGGTAGCTTTGCGATTTTCCAACCTGGACCATATTTTTCCATAATTTTGTGTCTGAATGACTAATGAGAACAACAATTTTTTAAAAAATTGGTCCAGTATTGAGCAAGAGTGCTGCACGAAGCAGGCTGCAATGTAATGTTAATGGGCAATTGTGCACCATCAATTTCCGTCCACTATAAGTGCTTGGTTTTTTCGCTGCCATGTTCAGATTATTATTCTAAGTGTCTGACAACTTATGGAAAGGCTCACTACAGAGATAGACTTTTTTGTTAAAAAACAGCCTGCTTAAGGGTTTATTTCAACCAAATTAGAGTTAGTGATTGTTGAAGAGTGGTAAGTTTTATTTTGTCTTGTTGGCAAATTTGAATGAAGTGTTTTTTTTACAAGGATAAAATGACTTTATTTAAAGCAGTTGTGCGGAACTTTTTACCATTCATAAAACTGTCCCTAGTTCGTATCACCTCCCCTTGAAGATCCACATATTTATTTGAACCCTACAGCGACAAAAAAGCCTTTCTCTATATGGCTATTTAGCTTAGCCTCACTCTGGTCGGACACAGCGGAAGTCAGCAAACCAGAATACGGCACCCGGAGGCGGAAGTAAGTCTGTACGCCCGCAGCGGCCCGCAGCCATTAAACCACAGAAGAAGAAGGAGCTGTGTTTATGAGTAGGATTTAAGAAACAGTCTAAATGACATGTAGTAGGGAGTAATCTCTTGTACAGTAGGTGGTGGTATGCACCTGGAAGTTGTTTGCGATCTGCCAATAAATTGAGAGAAGAAGAAGAGCCATGTTTACAGAGAGTGTTCTTCAAGTAAGCGGTACGCAACGGGCATTGCTGAACACATAACAGTTTTACCAGATGTATCTATAAAGGACTTGGTTGTACTTGCGATGTCATGGCGGATAAAGAAGGAGCACCATCTAAATGAAAAAGAAAAAGAACAGAAGAAGGCTAAAAGGGACAGTGATAGGGCTCGAGCCCAAACGCGTGTAAACCTCGGTCGGGCATTCACCAAGTGGAGAGAGCTGAGAGATTTGAATGGTTTTAAAACTGATCCTGAATTGGCCCTTTTCCAAATCGACAGGTATGTAATTTTTGTTTTAATTTAGAGAATATACCGCAACTTGTTAGACGTTGTTTCACTTCAGTATATGACGACGTGGAAGTTATAAGCAAGCTAAATGTAATGTTAGCTGATGTGAACCGCTTTTGTCTAGTAACGTGACAACAAACGCCACAAAATTATCTGTGACTGTGACCATGAACACAAATATACAGCAGGCAGTTGTCCTCAGTTTATAAGAAATTCAGAGCTACACCAGAACATTTATGATTTTCCTCTCGCTCTCCAAAACAAATGCATGTGGTAATTGCCGCTTGCAGTCCAGATTTTACAACACCAGGCTGTGGGTGTCATACCGCTTCGACCAAAGGGGGGCACTATAATCAACGAAAACGTAAAGTTCCGCACAGCTGCTTTAAATGGAGTCTGGTGAGACTGGCAATAGTGACTGGGCTGTTTCTGGTTAAACAAAAAGGATGTGTCTCTTTAAAAAAAGGTGTGTGGGGATATCTTTTATAAGTTGTTACAGGCTTAAAAAAAATCTTAACATGTCAGTGGCAAAAAACAGCACTTTTGAGTGGATGTGAAATGACGGTGTGAACACTTCTCCGTGTAGTTACAACACAACCTAACTTAATACTGGAGCAACTTTGAACGTTGTTGTTTCCATTAGTCACTTAGACACAAAAATCATGGGAAAATAGGTTTGATAAATAACTGATCTTACACCCATATATATATTATGTATGGGAAAAAAAAAGAAAGAAATTGCAATAAATATGTAAATATTGAATGGAATGTAGTTGTAAAATGCAACATGAATTTATTGCAATAAAAGTATCAAAACAAACAAACAAAAAAAAAAAAAACAACAACAACTGATCTTACCTTTAAAGGCTACTCAGACTTGGCCACAAAGTACTACTGTATTGTACAGCCCAAATTTAGATGAAGAGAAAAAGTTCTGTCCTCTGGTCAGTCACCTCCCTACCTGATGTTTCCCCTGAGGGAGTGGCGGGGAACATGATGGTCTTGTTGCTGATCTCCACCAGGGCTTGAGGTGCTTGTGGGGTCTGTGGGGGTAGTGACGACTTGGCGGTGAGCCTGGCCATAGGCAGCACTGGGGTGGCAGCCTGAGGAGGTAGGGCTGTCAGAGTTGAGTCTGCTGGGGCCGCGGACACATCCAGAGCCAGGTCCCCACGAATCTGGACCTTAATAAACTGAACCAGTGGTCAACATGCACACATTTAGCTCTGGTTACGTTCTCACAGTAAAAGACAAGATTTACGATTGAATTGTGTTCCATACCTTCTGTTGACCGTTACACTGGACATAAATCTGTCCACTCCATGGCAGCAGGGTAGATTTAATTGCTAGTGAAGGGTTGGGGCTGATCAAAATCTGTAGGTGGCACCTAATTCAACAATTATAAAGAATTAGGATACAAGCAGAATAACTGAAATCATATATTAGAACTGCAACTAACGATTATTTTCATTGTCGACTAATCTGTCAATTATTTCTTCGATTAGTCGACCAATCATTTCATCGAAAAATGTTAAAATGTTGAAAAATGTCAGTCTGTCTCTCCCAAACCCCAAGATTATTTCATCTAATGTCTCGTTCCGTACTTACGCCAAAGGGTTTTAGTTCACCATCATGGGAGAGTGTGTAAAGCTGCCAATATTTGAACATAAGAAGCTGCAATAAGAGTATTTTGGGGTACTTTTATAGTACCTTTCTATGAAAAATGATTCAAACCAATTAGTCGACTACTAAAATAGTCACAGATTATTTTAATAGTCGATTAGTCATCGATTAGTCGACTAATCGTTGCAGCCCTATCATATATACACACACAGCCAGACAGGATTCAGATCACATTAGGATTGGACATTCCTGTAATTGTTCATTTTGAGCTATGATGACAATATTTGTAAGGGGCTGCACTGCCACTGTTACACACACACACACCTCAAATTAAATTGTCAACATTTAGGCCCAATTCTAAAACACCCCTTGTCCCCACCATTTAGCCCTAACACAAATGTCCCGAATCTTGAGGGGATAGAGGGGTAGGTCAAAGTATTTGGGCTACATGGCCCTTCAACGGGAGGTTTTTCAGTGGCACACTTTAAACCAAGTATCATGAGAAATCATCAGACAGACGGCTGTATACCCCAAAATGTATTTTCTTCATTAATAAAGATTTAAAAATCAAAACATCATGGGTTCTAATTCTGACCAAAAAGCCTTGACATTACCAAAGCCAATAGATTTTACTTAACAACCAAGTGCAAGGTCTTACTGAGGTTCGATGACGCCATGCTGAGGGGTGATGGTGAGGCAGTGAGCGGGCCAGGACAGATCAAAGCACAGCTCCCTGGATGTGTTGTTCCGGATCTGAACCTGACTGGTAGTGGCTGCACCATCTAAAAAACAAAAAAACCCCAAAACAAATAAAAAAAAAAAAAAAACAGAGGAAATTTGTGCTGCTGGCTGATACTATTGCAGAGTCATTCACCTATGGTTTGGAGGTAATCGCTTCACCAACTCTACTAAAGTCTGTGGTGGAGTTCAAAGCCAACGTGACAAAAATGCACATGATAATATGCTTTTGAAATCTAGATTCTACTCACTGATGGTGGGAGCTGCAAGGACAAGTTGTTCTGGATGGATGGTCCAGGACTCAGACTGCCTGTGTAATGGCTCTGACGCCTAAGGGGAAAAAAGACATTCTGCATTGAATATGAACACTCTTTTTTTTTTTTTTTTTTTTGCGCCAAATGCAGTCCCGTAGAAAAAGCACCAAATAATCAACATTCATGTTGTCACTCAACATAAGACACCATTAAAGTCCATTAAAGAGAGCTTATGGTGGTACCTTTAAAGAGGGCTCTGCCACTCTCAGCGCTGGACCCTGGGGACCTTTCACTGGCAGCACATCCAGAGACACATTACCATTCGCCACACTGGGAATTACACAACAACATTAAACTGTACATTGTGTCTCACATGATGTTTTTCATTTAAATGTGTTCATTATATAAAAAAGGACAATCTGTCTAGTGTAGACTAGTGTATATGCCAAATCAGTGTGTGTATTAAGTAGAATGAACACTAAATCTATTTCTTCATACATTTATTTCAATTGATGAAATTCATGTTTAACTGAAATGCATTAAAATAGAGATAATACTATGAAGCAATCTATTTTTGTATCCCCATCTGTGTTGAATGTATCTGTTGTGTAGTAGTTTACTACATACCTGTCCGTCTCTGCGCTGTGTCTAGCAGAGGGCAGCAGCAGCTCCGTGTGATCACTCTGCTCACAGTCTGTGCTCTTTGTACTTCCAAGCAATGACACCACTACCTTACTCATGTTTCCATAGAAAATGTGAGCTTCATTGGGCCGTTGGGGCAGATCATAGGCTACAGAAAGGGTAAATAATTAGAGAGACACCAACAATTGAGACAAGCATTCCACCAACCTATTTAAATTCAATCTGTCATTTCTAGTATTTTCTTTGTGCCATTATTACTGTTTCTTGCTCCAAAAGTCTCCCTCCACACAAGATATAGAAGCTTTGATGAAGTGACTACAGGGTACAAATCAGTATTCATAAATTAAATCAGCAATATGAAAGGTCAATTTGAATAGGTTTTCAGACTCAGACTGAAAATACATTTTTTGACTAGTATTACAGGGCTCAACAATAAGGATTGCCCGATTGCCCGGGGCAAGTAAAACTCAAGGTCGGGCATGTAAACTAACAACTCACTTGCCCGATCGGGCAAGTTGCTAAAAATAGTAAAAGTTAATAACTAATTGATAAAATAAATGTATTTTAAAACATGCTCCTTCGGCTCTGATGCAGTGGTCTCTCTGCCTGAAGTCATAGACACACGTAACAATGTCCTGCCCACAGCCCCCATTGATATTATTTTGCGCGACGGACGCTTCATATAATAACACAACAATATACTAATTATGGTGTTATGCCATCCTGTCATTTCTGTCTCTACATGGTCAGTTTTTCAGCTGACAAAATTATTGTTATGGACAGTGTGTAGCCTAAATAACCATGAACAGACTGCTGTTACGCACAAACAGCTGCTCGCACAGCAGCTCAGCACGGCACTCATGCTGAACTTGTGTTGCGTTCAGGCGTTGTCACGTAAATAACAACTTCCAGCACTTAAATAGGTCACAGCACAAAACAGCAGCATGTCTAGTGACTTTTTACTTTATTATATTCAATAAAATTGTATGTTCCTAAATCTTGAGACACCTCATATGTAAGCTAGACAGACATTTCACCTGCTCATTACTGTGCACACATGTACTGTATGTACTTAGTCCCAAAGAGCCCTTCTGGTGCCAGTAGATACATAGAAACATCCCAGCAGGCTGTGCTTTGCAAGCATACAAAAAAGTTTCACGCATGTGAAAATTATTTTTCATGCATGTGCTTCACCTCCGCTGCTACAACTCCATCCTAGGGGAAACAATGCTGTGTGCGTTTTGTGCAACAGGTGGATGTGGTAGTCTACTGGTAGAGTAGAGAGAGAGAGCTAAGTAGTGTTGAAGTAGAGTAGAGCAGGGCAGAGAGATGGAAGCAAAATATATTAAACCCGGTGTTAATACAGCAGAACAGGAGAGAGGGGTGAAAAATAAATAGAGGTGGGCATGGCTCAAGTAGGGCACAAAATTATAGACGGAGAACGACTGACAAATTTTTCACTTTAAGCCCTGACACTGTCATTTTTGTGTAGGAATTAAGCTACAATACATGACATATGTTGTTTTAATTAATAAATACAGTGTGAATAAAGATTACATAACATAAAAATAACTGCAGTCTTTGTCATTTGATAGCCGCTTAAATTAAACAATTTTTATAGGGCAAGTAAAAACTGACTTCGGGCAAGTAGATCTCTCACCAACTTGTCCGACCGGGCAAGTGAAAAAAAACCTTAGCGTTGAACCCTGTATTATATAGACATCTTACTCTCTGTAATATTTTCTTCTCCCAGGAACTTCTCATTGAAGTTAATGTTTTTCAGCAGACTGTTTTCAGACAGTGCCTTCCGCACAGCCTCCGGTTTACTCTGAAGCAATCTGAAAAGACAAAACACAAACATACTGTGGGGGGAACAAAACAGCTTTCTCGCAAACGTAGAACCATCTGGAATTGGATTTTTAAATTCTTGTCTCTTCCTAAAGATTCAGAAACAATATATGTTTATTTGAATCTACTGTATAGTCCAGCATACAAATCATCTGTACACAGGAGCATCACACAGATATTGCTGTTTGCATGATAACGCTGGCCATTCACAATACATCTTCTTCAATTCCCATACATACCAATGTTACTACTTTGATAGCATAAAAGCAAAGAGGTGGAGAGTCTCACCTCCTATACTGCTGCCTGGAGACCTCATCTCCACAAAACAAACAGACAGTAGCCAGCAGTGCATTATCTGACTGACATAGGGCCCGTTCTCTTTCAGTGGACTTCATTAGCACGGTAATCACCTGAAAAGACACACAAATGTTATTAGTACCAAGGTCATATTCCAGCTTTTGCAAGACTGGCAGCAATAAGAATAAGATATTTTCAAAGAACAGTGTGAACTATAGATTGAACTATCAGATTACAGTCTTTATTCACATTAAATACTTTCATTATTTCTTGTATTATTAAAGTCATTAATTCTTGAGTCATGTGTAGCACTTGAAAATAATGTAATGTAATTTAATACATTTACTAACTGTTCATATCAGTTGTATGAACTCTCCTACCTCTTGTGTCCTTTCTTTAAGTACAAACTGTGATGGGGCGAGGCTGATGACAGAGGGTTCTATTAGTGTTCGTGTCTGCATATCAGCAAAAGCCACAGCTTTGATGTAAGCTGCTCTGGAACCAGTGTTCCTCACGCACAAACACACTTTGCTGACACGACCAACAGCGATATCAGTCAGTGTTGCCACATAGCCATCCGCCTGTTTCCTCTGGTCCTCCAGGATGATGTTGCTTGTCCCACCATAGCCTGACAGTGGAATCTAAGGATGGGAAATATAGGAACCAAATTAAACTATAGCTCAAGGCTTTCAACAGAAAATGAGAAAACATGACATGTAAAGCAAATGAGGCAGGAAAAGGGAGAGGGAACGGATGGAGGTTATGTGAGAGAAATGCAAAGTGATAGATGACTACAGAGAAAGAGACCAGAGGGCAAAGCAGGACTGAAACCGTCACATCCTCACAGTGAATTTGACCCCTGGCTGTGAAGGCCGCACTCCAGACTGTTTGATCTCCAGCTTGGCCAACATGCAAACCACCCTGGTGGGAGCAAAGAGCAGGTGGACGGTCACATCCTCTTTGGGACGAATGGACAGCTCCCCATGTCGCGTCAAACGCTCTTCAGGACTGAACATACTCTGGAGCTGAGGGAGACACAAGTTTGCATACTTCACATTTGAACAGTGCAGATATTCCTCAAACAATCTGTCAAATGATCTATTATGTTTTATAGCTTGTCTGTTATGGTTGATGAGAAGGTACAAAAGGTCAGGGGAAAGGGTTACAAAACTGGACCCTTAAAGGGGAACTCCACCTACACATTGAAGCCTGTTTACAGGCCTTGGGGAGTGCTCCATCTTTTAAAACAGTCGTAGAAAGCCTTTTGTGGCTCCAGAGGGAGTAGCGTGAAGTCTGATAAATTACCCCAAGTGAAGTGACTTGAGTAAGCTTCTGTTGGGGTTGAAGACTACAAGTTTTAAAATGGAAAAAAAAGAAGTGAGGCAGACCTCTGTGTTCCACTCCTAATATTGTGTGATGCTAGAGGCTCAAGGCCACATTAGCCACTGTTAGGATAAAACATCCGAAACCTGCAATGATCAGGTTACTTTGTGCACTGTGGGCAGCAGGTATTGACAAGAAGAACAGAAAAAGACAGTATCTAGTATCACAGAGTCATTTTTTCTTAACCACCTATCATGAGTCCGGCAATGTTATAGGAGTGCCTTCAAGGTAACACAAGGTGAGCAACTGATATACAAGAGGTCATTTTGTGAATTAAGTGTTCCTTTAATACCATATTCATGTATTTATCTTAGACTTCTTTTCTATCTGGTTTTAGCTACATGTATGTGTGTGGTCGTACAAAAAAAATCTGATTAAATAAAACCACCTTCGTTCAAAACACTTGCAGTGGATCGCTGATTAACAAACACACGACACTATGGAAATTAAAATTAACTATGCAGGTGATTCCTAGCAGGACATCAAAACACAAAAATTGGATGTGAGGATACTCTGAACAAGGAAGAATAGAGATGAGATGTTTATCAGTATTTTCAAAGTGCAAATATTACAGTCTACCTGAAAACAGTCCTGGTCTTGACCACGAATAAGCAGCCGTAGCTGCTGTGTGGTGGTGGTCGAGTTGTTCCTGAGAACCAGCTTCTGTTGGCTGAAAAACAATGGCAGCTGTTGGTTATGTGATAACAGTTCTGTGTCAAACTTGATATGTTTGATACATGCTGATTTGAGATTGAGAGCCATTATATAAATGTCCTAATTTGAGTTGGCAGTCAAGTCAAACCTGGATCCAGTTAAACCTTTAAAAGAATGCATCCATTCCATGGGGGATTTCTTACTGGTGCCTGTACTTTACCTCCCTTCAATGAGTATAAATAAATTGTGCATTATGTTGAAATAGCTTCTGAGTAATAACACCCTCTGTCCCTTCTCATGAATAACATTACACAAGCCTTAATAGAATAAGGTGGACCACTGGGCCTTGAGTTTTTTATTGATTACTTTCCAATGAATAATTGATAGCTATATATAAAGTGTTTTTTTTTTTCTGAGTAATGATGAAATTAATGAAAAACTGAAAGTTGCTTACATAGCTCGTCCTAGAGTGACCCCTCCCCAGGCTACGAACTGTTTGTTAGAGAGGATCGGTGGAACATCACTGGCCACACCAGGACCAATGACAGCAGCAGAGGGAATGGCAGGTTTCCCAGAGTCCTCTGGGACAACTTCTCCTTTCAGGGTTACCTCATACTGAGGACCTGAAGGCAGCACCAAGATGGTGAGAAGGCTGCAACACAACAAGCACAAACAATTAATCCCAATTAGTACATTTGGATGTCTACTACACATGTGACATGTTTTGGGATATTCACTGATATAACCAAAGACTGATGCTTGTGAACATTTCATCCAAGCATACCAAGCGCATAACATCAAAATCTATTAGTCTGGTTAGATCTGTTATGGAAAAAAACTGCAATGAATACCACTTAAAGACAAAACAATGGGCCGGAGAAAATCCATGCTGGGACAGGGAGACAAGAGACACACAAGGGCCCCAGTCGGGTGGCGGGTCGGCACCACTTTGCCATTTTTAACTTGGTGTCAGTTTCTGTTTTATTTTGACTTTGGGTGCAACGATGTGAAATTACAAGTTATTAACTTTCCTTTTAACCATCTGCACTGCTGTCACAACAAAACTCCATTTCAAGTCTTTGTCATGCACATGCACTTATATAAATCTGAAATGTGGTTCCACACACTAATACTAACGTACTGAAAGTATTTTTTTTTTTTTTTTTTTTTTTAAACATTCATAGCTTCTATTGAGGTTTTTGAATAAAGCTTTAAATGTCTGTCACCACTACAAAATCCTCAAATTGAATGACGTGATTCACCAGATTAAATGAGTTCGCGTTTTTGTTTTATTAAATCAACTTCCTTTAATGATGAATGAATGAATAATGAATAGATGTAGTTTATGGTGCTTTTAGATTGCTGCTAGATAACCCTCTTAATACAGGTGTATGCCTCCCTTTGTGTTTGGCAAGTGAGAGAGCAAACAGTTTTTTGACCTCAGTAACATTGTTGTTTTTGAAAGGCTAAATGCCAACAAATATGGGTTGAAAAGAAATATTTTGTTAGATTAAAAACTTTTTGTGAAAATTGGAAATGATTATCTATCTTTTTCAATAAATTCTGACTTTGGACTTTACAACACTCTGGAGTTATTGAAAGTGTATGAATCACACAGGTTAAACAATCCTACACAGCCACCACTGGAATCTGATTTTACAAAAAGTATAATACTAATATTAGTGTAGCCCAATCATTATCTGCAACTGTGCAGGAAGACTGGGTTTAAACAGAAACAACACATAAGTAATCTGGTGGTGTTAACTGGTTTTCTCTAAAAAATCTTGCTCCCAGTATGGAACGGATGGATTGAACTGTGGTTTCTCACTGGTTACTGCAAAATAAATAAATGTTTGTATACCTTTCTCGATATTTCCTGCTGCCCTGTGCTTTGAAGGAGACCACAATGCCTTGCTCCTCTCCCATTCTCAGGGACAGTTCATCAGGTGTCACAGAGAAACTGTCCTCAGCATCACTGCTCTATAAACAGGAATCAAACAGAGACAGTAAGAGGGAATGTAAGTGAGAAGAAGAGGGCAAAGGTAGGGACAAGACAGCAAAGAAAAGAGGACTGAATGTTGAGAGGCAAAAAGAAGGAAGAGATGGTGAAGAAATAAAAAGTGGAGACACAATGGAGAAAACAAGAAAAACAGGAGCAAAATATCAATGAATCCCCACTGAATATGCCACAGTCAGAGCCCAAAATGTCACACAGGCTTACCAAAACCCCAGATCTAATAAGAAAAGTAAATGTCAGAATTACCTTGAGTTTTAGCTGAACGTCAATGTTTCCTGCATTCTTTAATGGCAGCGTCTGTTGACTAGATTTACCCAGTGGAGCAGACAGGCTGACAGTCTGGAGAAAGGTAGCACAGAAAGCAGATGAGTGACAACTCTTGAGAGGGCAAGAAAAGTTGAACAAAGAATTAAACACGGTGATGAAAGGTTCTCTCATGTCAAACGTTTATGTCAAATACAATTGAATGTATTCCTGATTAATCTAGCAATTTTATTTCTCAAAGGCTTCTGACATTATATGAAACTAAATCTGATTTAGATAGACTTGCATTTTAAATGCAGTTTGGAACGTCAGACAATAAAACAAGACTGGGGAGTTGTGCATCCCATCAGGTTGAGCTTTCAAAAACAAACATCCACTTTTCGCAATGATTGGAAATGTGTGCTTACAGGTCCTTTAAAAATGATATTGATCTGCAAATTCAGGACTCATTCTTTATCCACCTGCTGTTATGTAAACTGCTCAAATAATCATCATGATTGGCTCTGAAGAATTCAGAATTAGCCTTTTGTACATCTGTATGAGTGACTGTTTTACAAGTACAAGATACCCTCTCTGTGGCCAAGTCCGTCTCAGCTTCAAGTTTATCGAACTACCTTATTTGGAAATTGTTAAAGTTAGAGGCTCACTGATCTGAACATAGCAATCTGCTTAACTGTTCCAGATTAGTTCCTGTGTGTGCTTCTCTTAGACCAACATTTGTATCATCTACACTGTTTTTACATTATCTTTAAATATACACCTTGCTAATACAATAGTTTTCAGTTACATTAAATTGGCCAATGGAATACAAGCTAGTCTATCACATTGCTACAAACTTAGCGGTCACAAGACATACATAACAATGTCTTTGCAGTGTATTGGCATACAGAGCTACAATATCAAGCCAAAAAAAAAAAAAAAAGCCATGTGGTAGTTTGAATACCTGCAGGTCTTTAGGAGCATGCACCCTTGCAGTTCCAGACCTCGCCCTGAGGGGAATACTCCTGATCACATGACTAAGACCAGGAGAGTCCACTTCAATGTCCACCCGAGCACTGTACTCATCAGCTGGACCAAGCTCTTCTGCAAGCACAAACACATAGTTAGGGTTAGTAGAAAATAACTAGATTTTGTTTTGTGATTATCTTTGCTCTGAAAAATGTTAATGCAAATATAACAATCTAATGTCAAAGGCCCCTTCCTTATCTCTACTTTTGGTGTCCTTGTTCATTGTGATCTCAATTACACACCTGTCGTGTTTCATGAGCCAGGAACTTAATGGCCCAATGGCCCCTTCCTACTTCCTACCTCCCTAACCCTACAGTAAAAACATACATTTAATATAATGTCTGCATTTTTTCAGTATTACATTTCTTAAACAGTCAAGGAAAATGACTTTTTAAAGTATATTTTCAAAAACACAAAGACTAATTTCCCTGTTAAAAATACCCCCCTTCAGCAAACCTCTCATTCTCAAGCAAACACTGGATTATTTGGAGTTAAGTGATACATTAAATTGTTATCTCATCCCACTGCCTTACACACAAATTAACAGTTAAACTTATAGTCTTTTTAAGTACTCAATACAAGTTTATTACCTGAGGAAACAGTGTACTTCTGAGGTGCCTTGAAGTGAACCCAGACCATGAAGCTCTGTGGATTCTGGAGAAAAAAAAATAAGAGTGAAACTTATCATGAGCCTGATAAAGTCCTCAATAGGTGAGCAAGAGAAATGTTAACTGTAAAAACTGCAGGGCTCAACAATAAGGATTGCCCGATTGCCCGGGGCAAGTAAAACTCATGGTCGGGCATGTAAACTAACAACTCACTTGCCCAATCGGGCAAGTTGCTAAAAATAGTATAAGTTAATAACTAATTGATAAAATGAATGTATTTTAAAACGTGCTCCTTCGGCTCTGATGCAGCGGTCTCTCTGCCTGAAGTCACAGGCACAGCTGTGTAACAATGTCCTGCCCACAGCCCCCATTGATATTATCTTGCGCGACGGATGCTTCATATAATAACATAACAATATACTATTTATGGTGTTATGCCATCGTGTCATTTCTGTCTCTACATGGTCACGCGTTAACAATTCTCCTCTGCTCTCTGTATCGCGCACGGCGGAGTTCCGCCACACACACAGGTGATCACGCTAGAGCAGCTCGGGCCGCATTTTCCTGACCAAACCTGACCCCGAGCCCGGTGCAGTTTGTCAGCTGACAAAGTTATTGAAAAGGACACTGTGTAAATAACCAACAGACTGCTGTTATGCACAGACAGACACGTTGTTCACAAAGCAGCTCAGCACGGCACTCATGCTGAGCTTGTGTTGCGTTCAGGCGTTGTCACGTAAATAACAACTTCCAACACTTAAATAGGTCATAGCACAAAACAGCAGCATGTCTAGTGACTTTTTACTTTATTATATTCAATAAAATTGTATGTTCCTAAATCTTGAGACACCTCATATGTAAGCTAGACAGACATTTCACCTGCTCATTACTGTGCACACATGTACTGTATGTACTTAGTCCTAAAGAGCCCTTCTGGTGCCAGTAGATACATAGAAACATCCCAGCAGGCTGTGCTTTGCAAGCATACAAAAAAGTTTCACGCATGTGAAAATTATTTTTCATGCGTGTGCTTCACCTCTGCTGCTACAACTCCATCCTAGGGGAAACACTGCTGTGTGCGTTTTGTGCAACAGGTGGATGTGGTAGTCTACTGGTAGAGTAGAGAGAGAGCTAGGTAGCGTTGAAGTACAGTAGAGCAGGGCAGAGAGATGGAAGCAAAATATATTAAACCTGGTGTTAATACAGCAGAACTGGAGAGAGGGGTGACAAATAAATAGAGGTGGGCATGGCTCAAGTAGGGCGCAAAATTATAGACGGAGAACGATTGACAAATTTTTTTTTGTCATTTTTGTGTAGGAATTAAGCTACAATACATGACATATGTTGTTTTAATTAATAAATACAGTGTGAATAAAGATTACATAACATAAAAATAACTACAGTCTTTGTTATTTGATAGCCGCTTAAATTAAACAATTTTTATAGGGCAAGTAAAAAAAAAACCTTAGCACTAAACCCTGAACTGTGTTACTTATTTCTTCATGTTCTGCCTGTCTTCCCAAACATAATAAGAAAACACAAATTAATTTTGGGGACTATCACAAAAAACCTAAACAAGCTTGAGAAAAACATGACACAAACACATACCATATGACACAATAATAATATAAGTAACCAAGATGGAATGATTTTGGCAAATCTTACCTCTCCATAGCTGGCATGCATCACATGATTCATAACCGAGGGAGAGGACACTGGGGTCATGTGGCCAGCCTGCTGTGCTGCCTCAGATGTTATGGTAGGGTGCTTGGAAAAGGTGAAGCATCGCCACGCTGTAGCGTTCTGGAAAAATGAGATGCAAAATATACATCACTCAGATACGATTTATTAAGCTCCCTGCATTGTTTTGTTCAAGGATGCGTTGGTAAAAAGCAATTTCATTTACTCACGAGGACACCCTTAAAGTTTAGACTAATTGCATCCAGTGTTTCAAAGCTTCAACATTTACTTGAACATTCCCACAGTAGGAAGAGATCATTCCATATTTAGTTTTTTCATTTATTCGCTCTCCTTTTATGTCAAAACATAACGACTTTTTAGCTTTTGCTCTGTTATTAGTAGGGTTTACTATTGTTAGTTTTTAACAAGCTGATGAATGATTTGCGTTCTTAAGAAATCTCAATTTCGATTTTTTGTAGGCGCAAAGTAAAAACAGGTTACACGTTTATATAACAGAGAATTAGTGTGTTTTTACAAACTTTTACACAATTCATGTCGAAAAGTCAGTCATACATTTTATGGAAACAGTAAATTAAAGGGCCAGTGTGTAAAATGGGTTGAAAACAGTGACATTAGTGGTCAAATTCTAGATTGCAGGGCTCACTCGCTCACCCCTCCCGTCGGGTAAATGACGGTAGCCTCGTAGGGACAAAAAGCCTTGCGCACGATTTTTTCAGGAGTAGGTCTATCTAGCGACGAGGTGAATGTTTAGTTAGAAATCTAAGCCATGTTACTATGTTGTAATGAATCCCTCACGAGCAGGAGACCAGAGGAGCGTTCGGGAAAAAGGCCCGTTTATTTGAGCACTCCAGAAACTCCGGTAACACTCCACTCCGTCCCAAACGCCGACTCTTCTGGCGTAACAGACACACTTCATAACTTTACACACATACTCGTTTACCATACCAAGTGGGGACCCCCTCCCCCCTCTGCTCCACCAATCTCCAGCCCGCACACTGACTGACAGCGTAGCCGGTAAACAGAGCTCAGCTGTTTATTTAGCCTAGCAATATCTCCGGACTATAGTAGCTGCAATGGACGACTTTGAACGCGATTTTGAAGAGTTTCTTGTAGCGGACACAGACCCAGAGCCATACCTGTTTGAGCTGGAGCATACAGATGAGGAACTCCATGTGTTTGATGCTGAGCGGGCGAGAAGAGAGGCTGAATGCACAGAATGGGATTCGGTGCTACTGCTACCATCGTTGGGGAGATATATCACCAGGAGGAAAAGCGCCACAGAGAGTGCATCACAAGGAGCGAAGTTGCGTCTTCTTTTCCTCGCAGATGACGGTTCGGGTTCATTCTCTCCTGTTGCGTGGTAAGTGTGGTCCATTCGCAAACTTTATAACTAAAAAAACTTTTCACTACTCTCTATCAACGAACTACTAACACTGCTGTTTCCTCCTCCTTCTTCCTTCCTTTCGCTGTCTTCGTTGGTTTATTTATACAAGCGAAACGCGTTCTCTGGCTGGCTGGATTGTCCGCTCGGGCTGCCTTACATACATGACGGCGCAAGATGGACTTCTCTAAAGCAAGGCCCTTGCTATATATATAAATAAAAGCATAATTATAAGGCTACGAAAACCAAACGAATTTTGTTTTGTAGCGATCATACACTTGCATAAACATATTAATGGGTAGAAGATTCAGATTCAGATTGACAATAAACCATGCCAAATATTACACACTGGCCCTTTAAAATTTCATACAGTGTAATGAGGCTGTACTAATTAGATAATATGATTCAATAACACTCCGTTGATTCTTTTTCCATTCACTGAACAAAAAGAGAACAACAGGACAATACCAAAAAGTAAGCATGACTCGAGCCACTATGTGGGACTATGATGACAGTGATGCGCATACAACTAATGCACATTAGGCTACATTATGATCATTTGTTTTTTATTATATCATTTATAATACAAATTTCAACTGAGTGCAAACTGAGGGTGCAATGCTTTTTCACTCTTGTAAAATCAGGCCGGCCTCACTCATATGTGTGCAACTCTTATTGATCTTCCTATAATGCCTAGACAAAATCAAAACAAAATTTGCGAAACATCATCCAGCCCAGAGGGAGCACCAGTGGGTAGCTTAATAACAAAGTACTTTAGAAGTTATTTCCCATGCAGCAATGGCTGAGTAGTTTAATTGAGAAAAATGCTAGACTCACCATTTGGTAAGACAAATGCATTATGAGGCAGGAAAACGTGTGCATTCAACTCGCATGACTATAGGCACAGACAGAAAGCCAGATCCTGGTAGATAAATGGTCGGTGTTTGCAGTATACATTCTGAAACTTTCATGAGTAAAATTTGTTTAGGAACCGATGAGCAGAGTCGGAATTTAAATTTCTTAATGGTTTCTCTGAAATCCCAATTTTAGAACCAGTTGTAATGTGGAGCTTGTCCTCTATGCCTAAACCGAGTCATTAGCTTAGATGAGGCTTAAACTTTAAGATGTGCCTAAAGAGAATTGTATACCAAAGTTCCCATAGTGTCTTAAACCCAGCTGCACTGTGATGTGCACTTGTGTTTTAGTCTTTCATAGCTGTAACATGTACTGTAGGAACCACATAGTTGCCACTGGAGGTCAGTGTAGCATTGCTATGCATCAGCATATGTGTGGCTGTAAGTAATCTGAAAATATGTAGAAATGTACTGTTGACTCACTGCACTGATGACCAGACGGATGGGCACTGTAGCATGAGTCCTGTTGAGCAGTTTGAGAGAAAGAGATTTGGCACTGCCTCCTGGAAGGTCTCCAAAATCCAGGCAGCCAGATTTGCTTACTTCAACCTGAGAATCAAAATGAATGAGATCCTATCATACATACTATGCAACATATTTAATTTCACTCATGGGTCATTCAGTAAAGGTGGGAATAAGCAAGCATAATAAGCAACTTCCCTTGTGCATTATCTCAAAGCACTGTGTTAGTACATGAAGTTAAAACCTTAAGTATTTTACTGTGTCTTGTTTCTTATGTAGCAGGTCATTTTTGGTTAAAGGATAACTATTGTTTTAAGTTTTTGTTTCTAAGTGACTAATGGAGGCAACAAATTTTGAAATGTGTTCAGTACTGATTGACAGTGCTGCAGCTGACAGCTGTGAAACAGGCTACAATGTAACCACTTGGGGTATTTGTGCACCGTCAGTGTATGTCCACTAAAAGTGCTTGTTTTTGCCATTGATGTGTCTGACATTGCGGACAGGACCCTACAGAGATGTCCCCATTAGTCACGTAGGCACAAAAACATGGGAAAATAGGGTCCAGGTTGAAATATACAGACATTTTTAAGAGTGTGAATAATCTTTGCACTGAAGGCCCCTCACCTCAAGCTCAGGATTCTCTGCTATGGCAACCAGCACTACCCTTTTAGCAAAGATGTTGGCTCTGGCAGCAACCTCTGTCTCTGCGGACGCAGGCCAGGAGCAAACACTGAAGACACACTGGTAGACCCCAGCCTGTGGAGGGATGAATAACACCTTCTGCTCTTCTGTACTCTTGGGGGCAATGATCGTCTTGTTCTTCACTATAAGCCACTGGTATGGCAAGCAATCCACCTGTAGGGTTTGCCATCGAAGACAGAAGAAGAAGTGAGAATTAAAAGAGTATTGTTAGCAGATATTTTATAACTACTCATGTTTAATCAATTAGTTGTATCAAAGTTTTCCAGCAACTAATTGTAAGCAGCCTCTTGCTGATATTTTAGGGTTTCTGGACACAATGTTGAAGATATACTGAACAAAAATATAAACGAAACACTTTTGTTTTCGCTCCCATTTTTCATGAGCTGAACTCAAAGATCTAAAACATTTTCTATACACACAAAAGACCATTTCCTCACAAAGCTGTCTAAATCTGTGTTAGTGAGCACTTCTCCTTTGCCGAGATAATCCATCCCACCTCACAGGTGTGGCATATCAAGATGCTGATTAAACACCATGATTATTGCACAGGTGTGCCTTAGGCTGGCCACAATAAAAGGCCACTCTAAAATGTTCGATCGGACGACGAGCACGTAGATGAGCTTCCCTGAGACGGTTTCTGACAGTTTGTGCAGAAATTCTTTGGTTATGCAAACTGATTGTTGCAGCAGCTGTCCGGGTGACTGGTCTCAGACGATCTTGGAGGTGAACATGATGGATGTGGAGGTCCTGGGCTGGTGTGGTTACACATGGTCTGTGGTTGTGAGGCCAGCTGGATGTACTACCAAATTGTCTGAAATGCCTTTGGAGACGGCTTATGGTAGAGAAATGAACATTCAATTCACGGGCAACAGCTCTGGTGGACATTCCTGCAGTCAGCATGCCAATTGCACGCTCCCTCAAAGCTTGGGACATCTGTGGCATTGTGCTGTGTGATAAAACTGAACATTTTAGAGTGGCCTTTTATTGTGGCCAGCCTAAGGCACACCTGTGCAATAATCATGGTGTCTAATCAGCATCTTGATATGTCACACCTGTGAGGTGGGATGGATTATCTCGGCAAAGGAGAAGTGCTCACTAACACAGATTTAGACAGCTTTGTGAACAGTATTTGTGAGGAAATGTTCTTTTGTGTGTATAGGAAATGTTTTAGATCTTTGAGTCCAGCTCATGAAAAATGAGAGCAAAAACAAAAGTGTTGCATTTATATTTTTGTTCAGTGTACTTTCAGCATACACACTTTGTCACTGTATAGTTAGTCACCACTCAGTGCATGCTGCTCACCTTCTCTCCATCGATGGCCAGGCTGGTGACAGTGATTGACACTTGCTGCCATCTCTCAGAGGGGTTGAAGAGGCTGAGGGAGGTCTGTGAAGCAATGCCCACACAGCAGGTATGAGGAAACCGCAGTTCTTCTGGCACCACCACTTGGCCTGAGGATGACAGTTGAATGGGAATAGCTGAGACAGGGAAATGCTGCCCCTCCACACATAAGAAGTGGTCAGTGATGTACTTATTAAGGATAGAGAGAGGCAAAGACTTGAACACTATCATTTATTGCAGCAATTACAAACTGAGAGTTGAACGCTCGTTGCAATTTTCTGATATACACAAGAAAATTAATTCTTCCCTGTATTTAACAAAGTGTTGCCCACATATATTAACTAATGTATGACAAATAATGTTAATGAAACAACAGTAGTCAAATCTTATCATTTTTTCTAAATACAAGAGTGTACACAGTTTATTAAAATGGGTACAGGAAGTTAACTTCACACCAAGATCACTGCTACCTCTCAGTTCCTCAAGACCACCTGCCACCAGTGGCTCTGCACCATACTGAGTGTAAGGTTTTCCCATCATTCCAATGTCCTGCTGGCCCTGATGGGATATAGGGAGGTGATGGCACCCAGTGGACCCCGAAATCCCCAGAGGACCTGCTGTGGGATGGACGTGTCTCACTGTGAGATCACTGTTGGGTATGCCTGGGAAAAAAAAAGGCAGAATACATTTAACAAGTATGTTTAATGGGTTTAACCATCATGTTGCATCATTGCCAATATTTTTCTGGGTATTTCACTGTTTAGTAATACACCCCACACCTCCTTTATTCGTGAAAGTAGGAAGAAGAGACATGCCTGCAGAGGACACACTGAAGAGACCACTTCCTGTTGTTCTGACATTAAAAGCACCTGGATGTAATGGAGCTTCAGGTCCCAAATACTGCTGAGCCAGGTGGGAGTTAAAGAGAGAGCGCCCAGTGAGGAGGGACTGCATATCTCCTTGGTGAGGAAGGTCAATCAAGCCAGCACACTGTGGCTTAAAGCTGGGGATGGGCACATAGTGAAGCCCTTCCGATGAGTAGGACGGAGGAATGCCGAGGCCACTAGCATACACCGATGATGACACTGAGCCACCAGCTCCCCACTGCTGGGAGCTCTGAGGAGCTGCAGTGCTGCTAGTTTGCTGAATGTTCAGATTACTGCAATAGCCTGAGTCAACTTTAGTGAGCTGTCTTACGTTGGACTCAGAGAGGTGCTTGTGGTTCCTGCAACTTGCTGCAATATCTCCAGTTCTGTCCCCAGGGCAGCGGTAGTTGCATTCACTCTGGCTGCGAGTACAGCTCAGACCAGAGGCACTGCGTGGGGGCTCCGGGCTTTTACACTGCTGTGCTGGTAGTGGATCCAGACTTTGAGAATGCTGGGCCTGCATCTGGTCCAGGCTTTTGGCCAGGCCAAGAATATCGAGGTCAGACTGTGTATCTGGTTCCACAGGTGGAGTTGGACTGATTCTGATGATGGTGGTGCTCAGTGCCATACTAGAGTTATTCTGTGGACGGCAAAAAGAAGAACAACCCAAGACAATTAATACCACACTCATGATTAATACATAACTACAACCATTACACCAACAACACAAAAAACAAAATTAACTATTTTGTCTGTAGTCTTGTCTTTAGTTTCAAGAAAGCATGTACTCTTTAAAATACATGTTTAAAAAGATGTTTACAAAGTTAACCTTCTTGAAGAGCACATTCCCAACATTTAAAAAAAAAGCCCAATGGCAGTGATCTGGCTTTGCAAAATTCATTTCACAGAGCACGGACCTTCATGTTTAATGCTACAAGAATTGAATTTTCAGTGCTGATGCAGCCGAATTTAGGTATGCTTTACTTTGTCCTACCGTACCTTTCGCCTCTCGGGTGTAGGTATGACAGTGCCGTCATTCATTGAGATGTATGTGAGCCTGCTGGGACTTGGGCTGGAGCAGGTAGACTGAGGTGAGAGGTCAAGACCTGGACGTTTGTCTGCTATACCACCACTGGATGACACAGGTGACATCGTACTGGCAAGACAAGACAATAATGAATGATGACTCAAAACAGAAATGTCCCATGTCTGTCAGTAGTAATGTGCATCAGCTAAACAAAAATAAAATATACCAGACTAAATATTTAAAATTGATGTGACAGTTCCTTTCTTGTCAAGTAATCATTTAACACTTTGGTTTGAAGCCACAACAAAAATTACTTATATTCAGTACTTTCAATACATTGACACCATGTGTGATACCATACCCATCAGCGCTGGGAATGGAGGTTTGGCTTGGAGAAGAGTGAGTAAGCGGAGAGGTGGACGGTCTGAAGTTACAATGCGTCTCCTCCACACAGGGCTCAGAGAAACCCTTGGGCAGTTCTGAGAAACAAAGTTACTGTTAACTCACACATTCATGATGTCATCTCAGTATTCTCACAGGGGCAACACTTTCTAATCATGTGCAATATGGTGGCTACTGATCTCTACAGTTGTTTAAATAAGGGCGATTACTGCCCAGAGAACTAGTGCAACTTTACTGTTTAAATCAGAAGCCTCACATTTCTGGTCATTACTCACCAGATGCAGGGTCTAGTGGAGGTTGGGTGTTTTGGCAAGAGAAGCCAACATGCTTCTCAACAGAGCTACGAGGTAGTGAGGCAGTCATGATATTCCTGGGTGATGGTTTCTTCTCTGGAGAATTAGGCAGTCTGTCTTGCTGCGAATGACCTGCACTCCTCGCCCTCTGTGGCGGAGAAGAGGAACCTTTAAAACAAGGCAGACTTGACTGCCCTTTCCTTGGGCCTGGTGGGGTTTCTGCCAAGCAAGGTGAGGAAGCAGAGCCTTTATCACTTTTCTGTGATGTTTCTAATGGAGTCCTAAAATTGCTAGATGCTTGTAGGTTAATTTCTCCTGGTTTGATTCCATTTTCTGTCCAGGTACTGCCTGAGGAACCACAAGTCTTGATAGCAGAGGAAGAGGGGTTATTATATGCTGCCATTTTGTCTGCAGGAGGCATCAGAGTGGAGGACTGTCCTGAGCCCACAGACCTTCTGGTAGAACCAGAAGATGTGCGAGGGCGAGGAATAGAGCTTCTTCTTGGGTCACCTTTATGACCTGGAGATAATGCATTTGGAGGAGGCGCTGCAGATGAGCTGTTTAAAGTTGTCTCTCCTCCTCTGTCTTTCTCCTCAGTTTTTGTCCTTGTGGACTCCTGTTGAGTCTCATTGTCCACTCGCTGAGCTGAGCTCCCAGGCTCCTCGGGATATCCTGCCTGAGGGTTTCTCTGAGAACTGCTGAGGTTGTCTGCCCAGCCGGTCAGGTCAAAGGTGGTGTGTGCCACAGAGGCATCAGTGCTGCCTGACACGTCAGTCTTTTTCAGGTATTTCTCCATGTCAAAGGCACTCAGCTCTCCAACACAGGTGCTTCTGTGCAGTGTGTCCAGCATGACACTCTGATCTGGCTCCTTTCATAATGAACATATAAAAGAAGACGTTAGGAGGTCATGGTCACACGGTTAATAAACTTAACTTGAGTCACCCAAAAAATAACATTTTCTTTGTAAACATTTACAGATTATATTCAAGCAATTCTTAGTATGTTTTTCAGTTTGTTCTGGTGAGATCTTTAATAAAAAAATGAATAAACAATCAATTTATTAAATAATATGGAGTGCTAAGATTGAAGCACTAGTCTTGGGTTAAGCTGTTTGATTAGTGATTACAGTTTCTGTTCCAACCTAAGAAAACAAAACATAAACTCAGATTGAGAGCACTATCTCACTGCATGATAAAGACCGAACCAAGACACTTACTATTAAATACAAAAAGGTAATATCTGGGAGGAAAAAAAAAACATCCAAAGCCTCACATGTTCAGTGGAGTGTGGCCCTGTGGATTCGGGTCGATTCCTTGTCCTTCTCCGCTTGGACAGCTCCACAATCATAGCAGCCAGCTGCGATGGGTCAGTGCTGATGGACGCATCAGCAATGGCTGAAGCGATTGTGCTGATACTCAGCATCAGATGGCTGCTGTTGTTGTTAGGGGACACACGGCTTTGATTACTCAAGCTTGATTCAGAGCCAGAGCCCTCACTGTGGTCAGGTAGTGCAGCTCTAACAATATGGTCCTACAGGGGGGATATTTATTTTATGTCAGAAAGCCATACTGCTGTGGATGTGATCCTACATGGATATACTGAAATATCAACACATCCAAAAAGTCCCTGTACCTCCTGATCACGTGGTTCCGGATCAGTATCACCTTTCGGTGACATCCTTTCCTCTGGTGCCTCAAGAGTTTTGTCCAGGTCCTCTGCAAGGAGATGACCATGAGGAACAGACAGAAAAGCACAATGTAAATAATTTTAAAATAAACACAGAAAAGATCAGGTAATGTAAAAGCCTACAAAGAGATTCGTCAACCGCTGTGATACTGTGAACACACCTGGGTTGAGTGTTTTGTCTGCTTCACTGACTTCTGCTGTGTCACTGTGAAGAGAGTCTCTAGCTGAGAACTCTGAGGGGTGAATTAGGGGAAATGGTTCTCTTTTCTCTGGAGAGGTAATGATGTAACCAAAGGACGGCTAGGGGAACAAAGACAAACTTTCAATAAATGTTACAGTTAAAAGAACTTAAAAAGCTAAGGCAAAAGACACAAGTGAATCTAACAACAACTTTACACCATTAGTCTGTACAAACTTGTCTACATTAGCTGAAAAACAATCTTCTTCAGCCCTGTCAAAATCATTTCTGGAGTTCTCTGCCAATGAACAACACACTGGCAGCTAGACTTTGTCAGCGATCAGACGCCAGCTGGTATATCCCCTCCACGGCTTTATGTATGAACAAATTCTTAACAGCCTTCATATGTACCCCAATGAGACTGAATGAGAGTATATTTTTAGTTAAAGGGATAGTGCACCCAAAAATGAAAATTCAGCCATTATCTACTCACCTATATGCCGATGGAGGCCCTGGTGAAGTTTTAGAGTCCTCACATCGTTTGCGGAGATCGGCGGGGGGAGCGGCTAGCACACCTAATGGCAGACGGCGCCCCAGACTAACGTCCAAGAACACAAAATTGAATCCACAAAGTATCTCCATACTGCTCATCCGTAGTGATCCAAGTGTGTTACAGCCCCGACATAAAAAGTTGTTTCGAAAAACGTCATATGAACTCTGTTTTTAGCCTCACTGTAGCCTGTAGCTCTGACTGCTTCTCTGTGCTCCGCGCTCACGGGTGCGCGCTCAGGGTGATCGGTGATGCACGGTCTCTGAAGAGCAGTACTGATGTCCAGATTCTCAAGTGCAGGCATTGCCAATTCCCAGTCTGAGCAGCAAAGACTTTCCTCATCCGTTGGCATTGCTTTGCATTTGAAACAACTACACCACCAGGTTTCCAGTGCTCCACTCCAGTATGCTGCGACTGGCTACAGCTCATGAGCTGCGGTGGCTGCTTCGTCCAGTAGCCTGAGTTCTGTGCGTATACTCGGGCTCAATCAACTACGGCTCAACAAAGAAATGCTGTTCCTCCTCAATTTCAAAGTCTTCAGACATGTTGGGCTGTCCTTTGCTAAAAGACTGTAGCGCAAATTATCTTTTAGCTCTGTGGTTACTGTTGTCTCTCCCTGCGGTGCACGTGTCACGTGATGTAAACACGGGTAAGCAAAGCTCATGCTTTCGCTGGTCTCGCGCAGGCGCACACACGTGAATGCGGAGCACAGAGAAGCAGTCAGAGCTACAGGCTACAGTGAGGCTAAAAACAGAGTTCATATGACGTTTTTCGAAACAACTTTTTATGTCGGGGCTGTAACACACTTGGATCACTACGGATGAGCAGTATGGAGATACGTTGTGGATTCAATTTTGTGTTCTTGGACGTTAGTCTGGGCGCCGTCTGCCATTAGGTGTGCTAGCCGCTCCCCCCGCCAATCTCCGCAAGGGATGTGAGGCCTCACCAGGGCCTCTGTTGGCATATGGGTGAGTACATAATGGCTGAATTTTCATTTTTGGGTGCACTATCCCTTTAATGTAAAAACCTAAGAAAGCAATTTTACTGACCCGTTTAATCCCATTCACATCCTCAGTGCTGCCCAGACAGCCCAGGGCTTCAGAGCGTTGTCCAAAAAACTGCCCAAAAGTCAGTCGCAGGTAGCTTTGGTCCTCCTGGTTAAACTCTGAAGAGACCTGGGAAGCCCTCATCAGGATGTGGCTGGTGGTGGGGGCCTTCCAAGATGAGTCACTATTAAAGGTGCTGTTGCTGCTGACTGGTTCAATCTTCTCCTCCTGTGTGAACAGCAATGCTCACAATGAACCACAAGAGGCCGTGATTTACAAAATGCAGTGCAGCTGACAGTTAAAGGTTTCTGTTAGTGTCTTCTCTTACAATATAGCAGTTTTATTCATTTGATTACGACAAACAATGTAATCCAAGTAAATTTTGGTAACTTTAGTGTGTGGTGACAAGTGTATCTTTATTGGATATTCTGCAATGTTTTCCAATGTTACTTGGCCGGTCAGAAATGAAAACTTGAACTCTTGAAGTAGAGAAAAAAAATCAAATTTAAGACATGAAAGAAAAAAGAGGGCTGTTGTTTACCTGCATGAATTGGTGCTCCTTCTCAAATTCCTCTTGATCCTTAACTATCTTTTCCATGGCATCACCTGCAAAGAAGGAAAATTTGTCAGAAAGCATCTATTTATTCATGATATTCTCTACAAACATAAACACCACATTAGAGAAATCTTACAGTAATACAATAGAGCTGTAGATTTGGTACATACAGGCAGGAACAAAGTCCTCCTTCTGAAACTGGCCAACAATCTCTGATATCTTTCCATCAACCTCCTTCTCAAAGGAGGAGTAATATGCCAGGTCTGTCACCCACTGCCCTTCTTCATTCTGGTACACCACACCATGACTGGCATCGGCTTCTGAAGAGACAAGCAATGCCGTTAACATATTACACCATGGAACGATATGTATGAGTACCTACTATCATCTATGTAAATATCTGAAGCCCACCTTGTTGAAACTCAAGCTCCAGGTTGTCTGGACAATGGTTCCAGCAGTCATCTGAATCTTCTTGTTCCTGGTGGAAGCTCTGGGAGAAATACTTGGCTTCCAGAGAGGTGGAAAGAGGATTGTTTTCATCCTCACTGGTACTGTCTGAGGCCTCTGCAACAGTTACATCACCACAAGGCCCTCCCCTTATGCCCAAGGAAGGCCTGCTACCATCAGGCACATCTACTCCATCATCATCATCATCATCATCGTCATCGCATTCTGGCAGCAGTACCTAACGGTGGGTGGGATGACAAAAGTGTACATGCTGCATAATAATGACATTTTAATTTGAAAATGTACAAAATGACATGTTCCACCCCCTACAGTAAGGACTACACACTGGAGCTGTCCCACTCAGTAAGCAAAGTTGATGAGGTCTATTTAATACTTTATTCTGTTCGATTCCATCTTCAAGAACATAGTGGGATGATAGTTTCTTAGGTCTTTATAAAACCCTGAATTCACCAATTCGCCTGCTGTGTACCTGAGAGAGGTGGAAGCTCCCCTGGGTGCCTTGAAGGTGGGAGAAAGTTAGGTGTGCTGAGTCCTGAGGTCTTCTAAGTCCAGCTCCACTCCTTAGGTAGACTGAGTCCAACAGTCGGTCAACAGTGGGCCCAGACTCTGTGCTCTCCATGGCATCCTTGCATTTAAACAGAACCAAGTTGACAAAGATAGTCTTAAATCACATTTATAAGCATTTTAACCTTTGCAGCTTTTACAATATATATTTTTTTTACTTTCCTCAGTAAGGAACAAGCACACAATCTATGACAGCACATAAACTATGATAAGCTAACAAACATTGTTAGCTTATCATAGTTTATGTGCTGTCATAGATTGTGTGACAGCACATAAACTATGATAAGCTAACAAACATTGTTTTTGATTTAAGGAACAATGTTTTTTACAAGTGATATTTTACCACTAATCTAACTTTTGAATAAGGTTGACCTAACTCAATCATTAGATGGACTGTCGCTAGTCTACAATTTCACTACTTTTCCTCCTAAAATAGAAGTAAAAAAAAAACACCACAGTCATTGAAAGTAAAGCAACATCATGCAATTTTATAGAAATAAATATATACATGGAATAACCAAATTACAATGCCCACCAGTTGGGCTGTTACAGTTACATTACAGCTGTCATGACTATTTACTTACCAGTGCCTCCTGTCGGTCCAGGACCATGCTCCAGTTGACGGGAGAAAGTCTTTGAGTTCCCCCTGATGCCCCAAAGGAAGAGCTGGCCTCTCCTGTTCCCACAGGACCCACACGGTCACCCATCTGCAAAAAAATTGTTTAAATCAAGCAGCAGATTGAAAAAAAAAGAAAACTACAGAATATAACAGTGTGCCAATAAAATCTACATTATGTATAGTGTACAAAATTGGTATCTTCAATATGCACTATACTGTGCACGAAATCTCTAAAAAAAAAACAAACAAACAAACAAAAAAAAGCACAAGTAAGCCTTTGTTACTGCAGATAAAGCACTGGTGTCTAATAACATTAATGATACCTCTGTTCCTGTGTGCACCACCTTGCTGTTAGATGGACTGCAGCCAAAGTTATTAGTTACACCTGTGTCTGTCAAAGTACCAGAAGTGAGCCTCATTCTTACCTCAGTATGTCTGGAGAGACTCTTCCTTCCATGTCCTGGCAGATCCAGATCGCCGTCCTCATCCTCACCGATAGCACTGCTCCCCACAATCCCCAGCCCACGCAGGACATCATAGGTGGTCTGGACTACGGTTGTTGGGAGAGGGATGGTTGAAACTCCACCATCATTTCCACTTTCCTCACTCCCGCTGCTCCCATCACCACCTCCTCCATCCCCTGGAGTTACACAATGACACCAAACAAACAAGTTGTCACCTAAAGATTCCAGGAGAGCTGGCAAAAGAATCTGTCCAAAGTAAATTAATGTTCCTCAAAACTACCAATAAACAGACCCTTGTTGAATACTTATCAAGCCTTAATATGTGTTCACTTTGAAATATGAAAAAGCAGGAAAACAAGCCAGAGAACCAAAAAAAAAGGAAATAAACAGGCAGTGAAGGACAGTTGTTAAGCCACATTTTGTACCTGTGACCGGAGGGTTGATGACTTGTCCCTCAGCAGATCGTCTGTGTTCAATCCCAGACAGAGATGGACCACCACGGCTGCTGGAAGCCTCATCATCAGAACTGCCTCCCTCTAAGCCCGGCCTGAAACTCGGACGATTACTCTCCCCAACCTGTAGCCACATGTACATATACACAAACATAAAAATAAACAGTGCAAAATCAAAACTCTGATGAACAGCACATTCTGATACTGATAATGGAGCTACTCAATACTGGATTTTTGAGGCTGATACCAATAATTATATGTGAGAGTTTAAAAAATCTGACGACAAAATTGTTTTCTATGTCTGACCAGTTGTCTGGAGGTGCTGGGCAGCAGCCGTGTCCTGGCAGCATTGCTGTTCCTTCTGGCAGACTCCAGCTCATCCTCAGTGTCCTCATCACTAGCAGGACAGGAGTCCATACCTGTAGCAGCAAGACGCACATCAGGCATCTGGAAGTCCTCCTGAAGAAAAGGTACACAAGATATTACAAATATCTATATTACAGTTGATTTACTTGAGTCAAATATATGATTTACAAAAGGAAAGACAGACTGGGGAAGGTGGTAACTTTGGAATTAAGAGTCAGAAGAATCAGGGTCACTTGCCAAACCCCACATTTCCAGGTGATATTTATAAACCTAATATTATTTCCAGACAGGGAGATCATACTTATATGATCCCTAAGCAGTACATGGGCACAAAATACTACGGGAGTAAATATTCTCACCTGATTGTAGTCATCAAGGAACTGGTGTCTATACTGTTCTGGGTCTGTTGAACTTGGGTTTGATATGCTGTCAGCAGCAGCTGGGAGTCCCTGTGAACAATTACATACATTAATGGGACACTAGGACAAATAGATGAAGTGAATGACAGCTGAATGAAAATTTACTGAACAGTTTTCTAATGGCTCACTAATAATGGTGAAGTGTAAGAGAAAGTGTCGGTAAGGTTCAAAGTGTTTCAAAGGGAGAAGAGTCTTACTGTTGCAGGAATCTCCTGGCCCTCCACTCTGCCTCTCTGCATAGCAGGAGGAACCATCTTATTGAAATACAGTTCCAGCTCATCATCAGGCAGGTTGTTTGAATCAATGTCATCATCTGGGAATTGAACACATGTTCACAACATGGCTCACACTTTGACAACATGTCGGAAATCTCTGTTCATTACTTACTATTAAAATATGGAGGATGTACGAACCTGTGATATCGCTGTTCATGCTGTCCACAGACATGAGCTTCTCATTTGCCAGGAAGCTTGAGTTACTGCCAGTGAAATGGTCACTGTCCACTCCTTCACTCTGCACAATGTCCTCTTCAGCTGTAGCGGGCAAGGGCTGAGCCTGTGTAAATTACCAAGGAAAAGAGAACGTATTTGCAGGGACTTCATCATGGTTTTGTTAGAGATAAAAGGCTTTTATGCACTGGAATTATCAGATGTGTTTACATGGACCCTAATATTCCACTAATAATCAGAATAATACAACAAAAAAGCAAACAAAACAACAAACAAACAACAAACAAAACAAAAAAGCCTCATTTAACCACCTCAAGCAGAAAAGACTGGTCTGACCCAGGCCAATTGAAGGAATTTTCAATCAGGTTGAGAGGGATGGTGTTAACTTTTGATAATCTGTTCCATAGGAAAATATTAGCACATAACTGTAACCATGTAAACACCGATCTGAGCCTTTCTCTTTGGTTGGAATAAAAATATTCTTTACGCGAATGTTTGCCTCACATGGCGGTAACATTAGGTGACACAGTTGATGCATGCACTGCACACAGCATGTTGCAACAGTTGTTTCTACGCACCTCCCCCTGCTGACGTTGACAGAGGGATGTTCATGAATTTAAAAAAAGATTTAACACTCAGCTAGTGCTACTTTTTTATGTCAGCGCTCTGATTAATAAATATATTATTTGAGTTTGAAACAGTGGCCTTATGTAACCTTATTACAGGCTGTAATGTGGAGTTGCTGGTCATGACAATAGTCAGTTGCTACTAGTCGCAATAACCTGCATACAAGATGTTTATGGAACATTGGTAAATTGTAGCATCTACCGATAGTCTGCATGTGAGGTGTCTGTAATGTGTAGCTAAAGAAAATAACCTAGGTTACACTTACATTACTTATTATTAAATTGTGTTAACAAGCGTAAAAACTTACTTTTCTTATATACTCTATGTACTGAATTTATTGAATTTTCTGATTCTTTGTATTGTTTAATAAAAAGATATTAAAGATGTTCAACTATAAAGACATTTAACTGAAATTAGCAATATAAAATGTCCTTAATTATATGAGTTAAGCCCCATGGCTCTCACATTTTGATATGGATGCAAAAAAAGGTCCACATGTTTACGAGCCAGAAGAAACTGTATTATGACTAAAGTTGGGGTACAAAAATTACAGCATAAGAGCCATCCCAAACAAAAAGTACAACTGCCAACCGGTCAAGAGTTAAAAACATTGGTACCTTTGCATCTGGACCATCTTTATAGCCAAACTGGGCAAATGTCAGAAGCCCTGTTGACAGCTCTGTCAAAAGAGACAGGAAAAAAAAACAAAGTACATTAGTATCATTCAAAGGAAATGTGTCTACTTCCAACAGTCATTTCCTGTTGATATATAAAAAAGCACAATTATATGTCCATGTAGTATTTGGTAAAGCCAACTTCAATGCATTTTCCAATCATTAATGGGGTTATTGATTCCGAGGCTGGGCAGTAATAGAGCTAGAAAGGTGCAACAGCATTTACCTGTTCCAAGTTCTGTGGGCCGGCCACTGACTGAGCTCATATGTGTGGGGGGAAGCCCCAGGTTGGGGCCTTGGGTTTGAGATGCACTTTCTTCCAAATTAATCTTCACCAGCATGTCTGAAAAACGGTGGGCTGCGATGAAGTCATCTGCATCGTCCCTGTAATGCAGATGAGGATGTAATGAGGATAATGAGGATAAAGAATAAATAATGAGGAAATATAAAATACTATAGTTAGACATTAGAAATGTCCATCTCTTCACAGCAAAGCACACAGCATTATGTATTAAAATTAGGCTGTTATACTTTTAATATGATTAAATGAAATTGAATTCCTCTCTGCCGAATGAACATAACTGTAAAAGTACTAGTATAGTTCAACCGACGTGTTGACTCACAAAAAGATTAATGCAAATTAAGATACGTGTATTGTATTTCATAGCATGGCTTATACTTTTAGGTGACAATCTTCTGCATTACTTTAAATAATGCGAACGTTAGTAAAAAAGTAATGCAAGTACAACAGTTTTAGAAAAAAATCTGCAGTTAAACATTTCTAGGAACTATAAGACAAGATAAGGCTTCAAAACACTGCAAAACAGAAATCCGCAGTGTGAAGTACATGGACAGCATAAACTCACAAGTCATCTTTGAAGCTGAGGGCGAACTTAGGCTGTTCTCTAGCAGATGACTTTGTGTCGGCCTGCTGCAGCTCTCTGCCCTCTAGATATGACGCCTCAACAGGATCTCCTCTGTAAAGCAAAAGAACATAGCAACTGCTTCAACAAAACACCTGATTGTTAACATAGTAAACAGCTCTACATCATGAGTTGTGAATATATATATAGACATCCTCAGTGCTGTTCCTGTTACTTTTGTGGGAAATTTCAGAAACCAAAAAGGGGCTGCAGCAACTTCTTGTTAACAAACAATATCTATATGGAGTCATTTATTTGGCAGGCACTTCCTATTTCCAGCGGTATTTAAAAGCTACAATTCGTACAAAGACAAACCTCCAAAACAGGAATTGGAATAATTTCAGTGTCCATTGCTGAACTAGTCAAAAAGCAGTGTGATGATTCATACAATGATGCATTAGGGTGTTTCCACAACAAGTCACATCTGTCCAAAACACAGCATGCTCCCACCTGTTGTCCGAGCTAGGTTTAATTTTAGCCACTGTAGAGGCGGCCACTGGGAGTCCTGGGCCTGAACCCAATGTCACATTCCCCAGTGTGGCGCGGCCACTGGTGCTGTCCAGAGACTTGCAGAGGAAACTGGGGAAGGCTTCATCTTCCAACTTGTAAAAATTATCTGCCATGTTTTTGAATGGAGCAGGGTGACAGCCAAATGTGGCTTGACTTCAGTTCAGGTAAAGACCATCTGAAATTTCTAGGAAAAATGAATGGGAGAAATAAGAAGCAGGTTAATATTAATTTGAGAGGTCGAAACACGTCCAATAGCTTATGCAAACTTTACAGAGTACTGGTACAGATTAAATCATTTAGATTGTGTCTCTATTAAGAAATGATCTGCTTTCTGATACTACATTACAACTGCGAAAACCAGCTGAGAAAAGTAAAGTTTGTTGTTCACAAATTATTTGAATATTTGAATGTATGTTGTTGGAGAGTAGAGTTTGGGCTGGCGTTAGAAAACTACTAAACAAACTGAGAGCAGTTAACTAGCTAATTATGCTAGGTCAGCTAACTTTTCACGCTAGCTAGTTTACTTGCTAAAAACAATGGGGTTTGTCAAAATCACCAGCACGCTCAAATTTGGGCAGACGTTACTCCACTATCTTCGTTTATTAAGTTAGAAAGAAGTGTAACAACAACACAAGTCGCAGCCAACAAAATAAACTAGTAAAACCTGCTTGCTACCCTGACCCTAATCTTTACACTGACCCATTTTGGCAAGAAAATGAATCATAACGTAAACGTTAGTTGGACAACTCACATTCACTCCTGAAGAGGGGCCGAGAGACCACGGTTCTTCTTCAACGCGACTTTTGTCTTCATAAACTTGTGCAGACACGTTGCAAGATGTAGTTAAGTTCCAAAAGTCACTTCCCAAACACTTACATTGTTCATTATTTCTTAAAATCAGGTACAACAAACAGACCGAACAACATTTCGGAGGACCAAGCAGCGCCCAGAAGCCACAGGAAGCCCGCGTGAGCGTCATGTCACGTGGGCGGGACTTAACCAATTTACACCGATTTGATTGGACAACAAAACTCAGAGGGAGGAAATTGTCGATCATGATTGGATGGGATTTATGTCGTTCTGTTAAACTTGGACAACCTGCACAATTTATAAAATAGCCCATTGATGCATCAATCGGCTGCTTGTCCTTACAAGATGAATGAAAGAGGGAGTACTTATTATTAGACTCCAGCCATATTTTAATGGCAATATATTTTACAACAACACTAAACTGTGCAAGTTTTAATTAAACATACAGAATTAAGTTATTTTAAAATTAGCTCCTTTAAGCAAAACATTTTTTGTCATACAGTAAGTAAAGATGCATAGTGTGATAGGGACTGGCCAAGTGTGGAGTTTGTTGTATCAAGTGTTGTGCCAAGCAGCTGCAAGAATGCATTGGTTAGCAGACAGCTGCATCCCATGCATTCCAGTTACTGAGAAGCATCTATGACTGAGACATGAAATGAAATTGTATCCTCCCTGTCAACATAAAAGACCTACTATTTATTCTCCTAATTTTAGGGTACAACTAGGAGGAGAAATGCCTCATATTCACACACTGTTTAAGTGATCCCCGCAAGGAAATCTCTTGTATCTGCCCTCAGAAGTCAGGTTCAATAACAAAAAAGCAGATGGGGATCAGTAACTTGCTCAGAGACACTTCAGCAGGGCAAATCATACCTGAAAGAACTGAGTCTGAACATTAATGTTCTGGATTTTTTAGTTTCACAAAATAGGCCACATTCAGTCGACAGTCAGAGAACCACTTCATTAGTTTTAGAATAAAAGTTGTCAAGAATAAATGCAATTTCAAACACAACACACAAAAATAAAGTGGAAGAAATGTGTTACAATCGTGCGCTATTTCCATATATGAGCCATCCCACATGACAGTCAGTCATTCATGAATGGTGCCAGCTTCTGTTCATCTGTGTGAAGGAAAAATGGTCAAAAATAATTCTTCTTTTTATATATTATGGTGTTTATTCTTACTTCCACCATGTACAATTTTAAACCTCCATGAACGCTGGGTGATAACATTTCCTCTGTAGGCACTGATAGTTAAGGTCCTTCAGAAAAATGTATCAGCTGACACTGACATCCATGACCCCATAAACAAAACATGCTTTTTATTGTACAGATTATAAAGCACTAGAATACAAAACTAAATATTGGAAATGTTTTATTCACAGTCTGACATGTACAGTAGACTATTTAAATGGTTATCAAAATGGCTTTATTGGCCATATAATGCAAAATTCACAAAATCTTCATATCGTTCAAAACCTTTTCTAATTTATGCATAGGAAAAAGAAACAAAACATTAGAAAACAGAGACATAAATGAAGGTCTTTATTAGAAATGATTGGCAGTTGTGTGGTTCATGCCCATAACCCGCCCATGTCCCTTCTTATTTGAGCTAAATCACCCCAAAATCACTGTCCGTCAGCCTCTGGTAAGGGCAGCAGTGCTCTAGAGGAGTGTCTGTGGGGAAGAGCCTGTTGCTGAGGCTGAATGGGCTCAGCATCACAGTGCTCTATGAGAGAGGAAGGAGGCAGCAGGTGACCATACCTGGTCCCCTCTCTGGGAGGATCCAGAGGCGGAAAGAAATACCTGAAGCAACAAATAAATGGATGGAGACGAAGACGACAAATACATGGACGGGGAGAGGACGATGACAATGGAATACAGAGAGAACATACATCAAAGGAAGTAGGAAAGGAGGCATTAAAAGGAGAACAGATGCATTTACGCTCTAGAAACAAAAAGAGAGGACAATGGCAGACAGAGCAGTGACAGAGGTTTAATTTTTAAAAGTGTAATGTTATTAAAGGAGGTGAACCCACTGATAAACATCAAGTTGGAATCAAGACAAAGTGGAAGCTGTGAAGAACAGAACCATGCAGGTTTCATCACAACACAGAGCCCTTCACCAGTCACACCGAAGTATTCAGCTAGGACATGACTCACTCACACATATCAAATGCATGAACACAAGGGCAAATGGTAGCTGGTGCAGAGGAGACATTAGTAATATGCAGGATGCTGGTATATCTTTGGAGAGGTCAGCTGCCGCAGGGGAGGGGCAATGGGAGCTCTCTTGCCAATCCTGCATGCAACAAGCAGTACAATACCACATTACTTCAACAACCCCAGTTCTCACTCACGTTTGTCGAACAGCAATTTTAAATCACAAGAAAAAACTTGTATGCAAGGTCATTTTACAAAATCAAATTTGGTTTTGTAAAATGACTGGTTACAAAACACAGACTGTCATACAGTACACAGATGTTGTGTTACTAAGGTTAGAGGTGAATCGAGAGTTATGTCAAAAACTACACACATGATTAATACTGAAGTCTTTTTAAGTTAGAGGTTAATAAAGGGACAGTTCCCCCCAAAAACAAATATACACACATTTCCTCTTACTTTTAGTGCTATTCATTAATTTAGACTGTTTTGGTGTTAGTTGCAGAGCACTAGAGATAGAGGCCTTCAGTTGAATGTAATGGACCTAGATGGCAGTCGTGTCATGTAGGACCTATTTTCTTGCATTTTTTTATGGCTTTGAGCACCACAAGCTGAGTGCCATCTAGTTCCATTATATTGGAGAGAAGGCAGACATCCCTGTGGCCGATATCTCCGACTGATAAATAGCACTACAGGTAAGAAGAAAAATATGTAGATTTGATTTTCGGGTGAACTGTGTCTTCAAGTTGAACATAAATACAGCCACATACCAACTCTTGTAAAACCAGTGTTAGCTCAAAACACTGTTTGTCCACTGGCATTTTTAACCTGTTTCACATAACATCAAATGGTAATAGATGTTCATTTATAATCCAAATTTTAAAGCAGTAATATTAGCTTAACTGTGACCTAATAGTAAATGACAAAACATGGTGTAATTGTAGCAGATGTAGAGAACAGTCAAAAAGTCTGCAAGCGGTTAGCCACTGAAAGCTACTCGTCACACCAGACCAAGTAAGGCTGGAGCAACAAAAGCTGAGTGCACTGAATTGAGAGAGGGTGAGTTTTACTGCTTATGAATTCAACATTTCATTTGTGAAAGACAGATTGTTATCTTTTCTTCAAAAAGTTACACAGTCTGAATTTAAAGCCATAAATGTCGGTGGCTGTATTCATATCCATAATGCATGTACAGTATTTATACTATTTTCTGATGTTATTACAGCTGGTTAAAGAGGTTCATTCAAGCTGTCCTTCTGCTCAGCAAAGAGGTTGGCAGTACTTGCTCAAGGATACATTCAAATTACAAAGTGAAATATTCCGTAATATAAAAAAAAAAAAAAAAAAAAAAAAAAAAAAGACTGAGCTTTAATTTAACTGCTCATCTCAAAATGGGAATGGTAACAAAGATGCTGGATGTTGAGATGTACAGTACAGGCCAAAAGTTTGGACACACCTTCTCATTCAATGCGTTTTCTTTATTTTCATAACTATTTACATTGTAGATTCTCACTGAAGGCATCAAAACTATGAATGAACACATGTGGAGTTATGTACTTAACAAAAAAAGGTGAAATAACTGAAAACATGTTTTATATTCTAGTTTCTTCAAAATAGCCACCCTTTGCTCTGATTACTGCTTTGCACACTCTTGGCATTCTCTCCATGAGCTTCAAGAGGTAGTCACCTGAAATGGTTTCCACTTCACAGGTGTGCCTTATCAGGGTTAATTAGTGGAATTTCTTGCTTTATCAATGGGGTTGGGACCATCAGTTGTGTTGTGCAGAAGTCAGGTTAATACACAGCCGACAGCCCTATTGGACAACTGTTAAAATTCATATTATGGCAAGAACCAATCAGCTAACTAAAGAAAAACGAGTGGCCATCATTACTTTAAGAAATGAAGGTCAGTCAGTCTGGAAAATTGCAAAAACTTTAAATGTGTCCCCAAGTGGAGTCGCAAAAACCATCAAGCGCTACAACGAAACTGGCACACATGAGGACCGACCCAGGAAAGGAAGACCAAGAGTCACCTCTGCTTCTGAGGATAAGTTCATCCGAGTCACCAGCCTCAGAAATGGCAAGTTAACAGCAGCTCAGATCAGAGACCAGATGAATGCCACACAGAGTTCTAGCAGCAGACCCATCTCTAGAACAACTGTTAAGAGGAGACTGTGCGAATCAGGCCTTCATGGTCAAATAGCTGCTAGGAAACCACTGCTAAGGAGAGGCAACAAGCGAAGAGATTTGTTTGGGCCAAGAAACACAAGGAATGGACAGTAGCTGATTGGTTCTTGCCATAATATGAATTTTAACAGTTGTCCAATAGGGCTGTCGGCTGTGTATTAACCTGACTTCTGCACAACACAACTGGTCCCAACCCCATTGATAAAGCAAGAAATTCCACTAATTAACCCTGATAAGGCACACCTGTGAAGTGGAAACCATTTCAGGTGACTACCTCTTGAAGCTCATGGAGAGAATGCCAAGAGTGTGCAAAGCAGTAATCAGAGCAAAGGGTGGCTATTTTGAAGAAACTAGAATATAAAACATGTTTTCAGTTATTTCACCTTTTTTTGTTAAGTACATAACTCCACATGTGTTCATTCATAGTTTTGATGCCTTCAGTGAGAATCTACAAAGTAAATAGTCATGAAAATAAAGAAAACGCATTGAATGAGAAGGTGTGTCCAAACTTTTGGCCTGTACTGTATCTGAGTAAAGCTAATCAAATCTCCTGAATACTTAGAAAAGAACGGTACCCAACAACACAATGATCCTGCAGTATATCCCAAAATAATAATTTGAAATAATCGTCACATATCAAATTTAAATAAACAGTTTTATTTTAGTTTTGAATAGCAAGAATATGTTGAGCCCTAACACTGACAATGCACAGTGGAAACATGACACTACTCTTGCATGCATCCGTACAAGTCAAGAGGAAATCACTTGTAAAAAACAAACAAACACCACAACACATCCAACTCCACAGGCTCCACACTGACAACCTGTATGCTGGAAGCCAAGCTCTTTGCATGAGTGCAACATTTGGTCAGTGTGCGCCCAGAAGTTTGTCAGTGAGCAGCTGCAGTCCCAGTCAGTGTGAGGCACAATAAGTTGTCAGTTCTGACTGGCTCGGGTTGGGCTGGGTGAGTGGCGTCGGACGCACCACACCACCTACCTTCCTGCAGACATCCCGTTCAGGGCATTCTGTGACGTCTGAACGGAGGAGCCCACAACGGTGCTCATGGCTGTGGGCTGACCAGATGAGCCGGTGAGTGGGCTGCCGTCTCCTTTTAGGATGCCTGTGCACTTCCAGTTGTCCATGTAGTTAGCTGCAGAGGGATACAGGAGATCAAAGCAGTGCTGCTTGTAACATAACATGATCAACATTTGATGCAAAGTCCATTATTTCCTACGCACCTACGCCAAGTAGAAAGTGGATGGAAGAATTTGACCACAGCAGACCTTTCCACTGTAAAAGGTTGCCTATTTAATTTCATTCTATCCTCAACTTTGTATTTATCACCCCTGCTCGCAGCAGTTAAAAATAATATTCTAGCAGGTGTGTAGCAAAAGCTCTTAAATCCCACTGTGAACTACTTGGCCAGCACCAAAAAGCAGACAAAGCTAGCAACTAGCTGGTGATCAAAGTGAAACATCCAGCTGCTATGAACCAGATCATTTTCCTAGCTGTTGGTGGAGACAAGAGGAATGTTAAAAGGAGAGTAAATATCAGACTTACATTCATTAGCTAGACACACACAACTCCAAATAAAAGCTAATGTTAATTTGTGTCTGCTTGGTGTGTAAATAGGCAAGTGTTTGCTAACACATTTGCCATATAAACTTGAACAACAGCAAGGTGTGTCTCTGTTGTGTTAATAGCTTGTTTCCCTTGTCACCAAATAGCCAAGGGAAATCAATTATTGAAAATCTCATAATGCAATTTATTACCAGTTGACTTGTATGCACATGTACATAGCAAAAGTAGTCCTTCTTGCTTATGTAATGCTTCCTCCACAGGCTGTTAAGCAGGAGAAGGGATTCTATAGTTTTTTTTATGCTAATATGTACTATTCAGGAGGACACACAAATCCAGAATAAAGCTAAAATGATGCACTGGGTGCAGCTACACCCACAAAGTATCTGTTACAACATGAATGAACTGCAAACCTGTCTCAATATGCTTCTAAAACACAAAAAAAGTTTGTAGATCAACTCAACAATAACAGAAAAATGTGCCAATATGCTTTGGAAATACTTCTAGTGAGCAATTGAAATGTGACAGAAATATGATGAAGCCATGACACAACCGCAATTTGGGGTAACAGCCATCATAGCTTCCCAGTTCTCTACACTCTCATGTCACAAACTACATGAAATGACTGTATCTATGAAGAAGGGGGAGATCAATCCTTTGATACAAGCTACTCATTTACTATCAAATCCTTTAAAAAAACTGTATCGATAACACAGTTATATAAATACAAAATATGAGTTGCTGCGTAACTTCCAAACATTTTTAGTACTGTGTAATGTTTGTGCCACAACAGCCCAGACATGTTTAGCTGGCCTGTGCCGTACAACTGTGGAAAGCTATGTCACATCCAGACCTAGAGCACAGTTGCAAACTTCGTAATGTAACATGGTGTGATGCTTTCAACAAAAAGTATCAGTATCATATCGAATTAAAAGAGATTGGTATCACCCAACCCTAGTATAAATATCTATTGTTGGGGGTCATTGACAGCCTCTGAAGTGCATACATTTGGTTTGAGTAATTTGATATAAATTGTATATCCATCAAAATCTTACTATATAATGACGAAAACTGTGTGTGTGTGTGTGTGTGTGTGTGTGTGTCTCTGTTCCACGTTTTTCTCCTCACTGACTTGCTCAATCCATGTGAAATTTGGCACAGTGGTAGAGGGTCATGGGAGGATGCAAATGAAGCAATATTACATCAATTGGCCAAAGGGGGGCGCTATAGCAACCAACTGAAATTGCAAACTTTGATGGGCATATCTCATGCCCCGTATGTCGTAGAGACATGAAACTTTGCACAGAGATGCCTCTCCTCATGAAGAACAAATCTGCCTCAAGAACCCATAACTTCCGGTTTATAGATTTTCCGCCGTTTTGAATTTTTTGAAAAACACTTAAAATCGATCTCTTCCTAGGAAGTTTGACCGATCTGCATGAAACTCGGTGAACATGATCTAGGGACCAATATCTAAAGCTCCCTCTTGGCAAAAGTTGGAAAACTTACTAAAACTGAGCTTCTATAAGGCAATGAATATTGCGGAGGGCGTGGCTCATCACATAAAGATGTATAACATCTCAAGGGTTTCACTGATCACCACGCAACTTTGTAGGCATATGACCACACATAATCTGAGGGGACCCCTCCATTATTTACCCGATCATATAAAATGGGGGAGCTAGAGAGCTAATTACTCATCTAGGCCTAACCGCCATATTGATTTTTACTAAACTTGGTAGATATGTAGAACAGGACGCCTCAAGGTGACTGGAGAAATGTAACTAATTGGCAACTGGGTGGCGCTATAACAACAGAAAAATACTTAAAAATGGCTAAAATGCGACTGATCGCTGTGGCTCCCCCTGTGGCCCAATGTTGTTATTTTTTTCTAATTTTTGGTATGACTAAGTCATGGTATGGCATGCTGTACATAATCACGGAAACTGTCAGTGTGTCATTCTGTCAGTCAGTCATTCTGTCTGTCCCATGTTTTTCTACTCACTGACGTGGTCAATCTATGTGAAACTGCACATAGGCATTGAGGATTGGCATAGGTAGAAGGTGACAAAGCTACCAAAGGGTATGGACTAGTAAGGTATGAAGTGTATGGAAAGGAAAATCAAAGCAGCAAAACTACATCAGTTGACTGAAACATTGCTGCTGCACATCACTACACAGATGCACTGAGTGGCTGTAGCACTACCAACAGTCAGTCAAAAGAGGGTTTTCTGGAACTGGCATCAATCAATCTAACCTCTGTGAAAGTTTGTTAGCTCTGTTTGTGAAATTAGACCGCCTTTTCTGTCATTCTTAAATTGACTGATGCCAACAACACATCAGCCAAAGTCACTAAATACCTGTCACTGTTTACTCAAAGTAGCATTTTAAATATTACACAAAAACAGCTTTCAGCAAAGCCATGACTAAGAATGAAGGAAGAAAGAGAAGCCGTCAGCAACAGAAGCTAACAATAACCTCCCACCTTTCCAGAGGCGCACACAGCCATCATCCCCAGAAGAGGCCAGCAGGGTGCTAGTGATGTTCCAGCTCACACGCCACACCTGGGAGTTATGGTTGTCAAACTGAGCCACAATCTGCACCTCCAACTTGGTGGGTCCTGTAGAGGTGCTCTCCTTCCTGTCAGATGGATCCAAGTAACAGAAAATTAATTTACACAGTAGTAGGTTCTCATTTCCCATTAAAAACTGGCAAATGTACAGGTGTATGAATTCATTTAAATGTGAAGTGCAGGATTTCAGTGACTACACTAAACTCTGTGTACTGAGTCATGCATATAACAACTATGACAAACTGTAACACTGTAAAAAGAGTTACCTCATAGGAACAAGCTTGAAGATTCTGACATCTTTCGTAGCAATGGCCAGCACGTGGAATGATCTCCCCAGGTTTGGAGCAAATGCGATGTCATGGACTGCATCAGTGACGGTCATCAGCGTCTCTGCTTTAGCATATTTCCTTTATAACATTGGTGCAAACACAATTTTAACAATATTAAAAACTACTTGGAATTCTGTTTTGTTTATATTGGCATGTTTTTATTAGAAAAGTGACACACACAACATTTCAGTAATACCCACCTTGTGTTTTCATTATACTCATAGATCTGAACTTTCCCACCATATGTGACGTTACTGTCATCGCTTCCCACTGCAAACATTGGCGGGTGGGCACGAGAGCTGGGTGGGAGGGAGAAAAAACACAAGATCACACCGACAGATCCACAAACCAAAGTTGAGCGGCAGCAAACCTTGCACTTACAAAAAGATCAGTTACAGAATGTCTTGAATTTGACACTGGTCTGCCAGAATGTTTGAAACAACCCAGAGTACTGAATGTTACCTATTTGACCAACTGTATCATTTTTTTGATTCAGTCACTCCTTCAAACTCAAGCTGATGTTCGAGTGCTGCTTGGACCGAGACAGATTTTGTGTCAGCTTGTCTTTGTATTGCAATGGGAAAGGGCCAAAAATTAGTTCATCCACCCAGGTGTTGCATTTCCATCACTGCCAATCGTTGCTGTAGCCAATAAATACTTGTGACTACTGCAGAGTCATTTGTCCTGGGAATTAATGCCGATTGTAACCTTTGACATTAATTACAGAAGCCAGATGTTAGTGGGTGTTAGTAGGTTTCTTGCCCAGCAGGAACGGGGCCATGACAGTAAGCAATGACAGTGTGACAGTGAGCCAGCATGCTCAATACCAGCCACCTAAAACTAAAGGAGCTAAATGGAATTCAGTCATTAGTACTTGTATAATTTACACCTGTGCTTATTGTCTTCTATGAAAAAGGCCTGTTGTTGAGTATCAGAAGAAGTGAATGAGACTGTGTGGAGTCATTTTCAGTGGCATGCAGGTTGGGAAGATAATTGTTTTGAGGAAGGGAAATGATTACTCAGTTACAGTCCTATGAGAACTGTAAGAATGTACATATCATTGACTTATCCTGTAAATGATCTTTAAGCTTTGCTTTTTTTTTTAAACTTTCTTATGTCTCTTCCTTATTTCCCCTCTTTATGAGTTGTGTGGTGTTTAAGTTTGTATGTATATTTTGTTAAACTGAGGAAAAAATAATAGAAACTCTCAATAGCTACAAATAAAACAAAAAACAAACAAAAAAACTAAAATCACTTCATTTATCATTTCAGGTCCTGTATGATATTCCTATAGGGACATGTGTGGTTGGGTTTAGTGAAATTACTCTTATTAAAATATTTCACATTGTACCATGCAGTCTAATCTCAAACATCACTCTAATATCCTACTGTATTATCATAAAGGAAAACCTCTTTATATACAGATGTGTTTCTGTTATTTAGTGTCCCCTTGCTGACATAAATTGGGTGAACTAAATAATAGAAACAACCATCAACATTACACAATAAATTTCGGATAAATTGGACAAGATGCCCTGGGAGGAAGTGAAGAAGGAGATGGTGAATGAGAAGGGCTTGTCAGAGGAGGCTGCCAACCAGACTGGGGAGTACGTCAGTATGCAGGGTGGAATGGCCTTGGCAGAGCGCCTCCTTCAAGACCCGAAAATGTCTCAGAGTAAGCAGGCCTGTGCTGGTCTGTCCGACATAAAGCTGCTCTTTTTATTTATCCATTAATAACATAATGTTTATAAAGGTGGGATTTATTGCAGGAGCGTCTATTAGACTGCATTAGTTTTAGCTAGGTGTACCTAATAAACTGGAAACAGAGTGTCTTGTTTTTTGTACCTACTCAAAAACTAAATTTATTATATTTTTCTGTACTATAAGCCAAAGTATCTGTAGAAAGAAAATGAAAGGGATTATACGTCCTATCTAGATGACAATGTGTTATAGTTACAACTGGACAAAGAATGAACTTGTGTTTTCACTAACTAAAAGTAGGTAATAATTAGAAAATAATCTGTTTTGTTTTATTTTAATGAATTCAACACAAACAGAAGTGCTTAAATCGTTAAAGACAGAGTGCTGAAAAATTAAAAAGGGACACACTCAATTTGGGAAAAAATAAAACACAATCTGGAAAAAAAACAGATATCCTACCTTGAGGGGTTCCAAGAGATGCAGCTGCAGCTAAGTTTGCAAGAGATCTCGTGCTGAAGGGACCACTGACTCAGGTTCATCACATCAGGAGCCTCATAGATCCTCACCACTCCATCCGCAGAGCAGGTGGTCAACATTAGACCCATGTGTTTAGGTGCAAACTTCACATCAGTCACTGACGTTCTACTGTCCACGAGTGTGGTTCTCTTTATCTAAAACAGAACACCACAAAATAACAGGGTCAGATCTTGTATAAAACAGAAGACTGTAGCAAATTGACTTTCTGCAGTACAGGAGCTCCTGAACTGGAGAGGTGCAGAGTCTATGATTAAGAAATAAATGAGTGCAATGTCTGATCTGCTAGTTTGGAAGGATGCTAGAAATGTACTAACCCAGTGGCTCAATCCTCTCTGCTTGTCATTGGACTCCCCTACAATCTCTTCCCAGACGGCTGCTGTCCTGTCGAAGGAGCAGGAGGCCAAAACCTGACCGAATTCTGGATGAGCCCAGGTCACTCTCCAAACTGATCCACTGTGTGTCTGCACAAGAGAAAAGGGCATCTGTCAAATTAATAAGCCCCAATACTAGTTTAAGCCAGATTTTGGGCTGCTTCCACATCAATGACAGAATGAGTCCACAAGAGACACAGAATACGACATAAATAGTAGAGTCAACCGTACAAATGTGTTGTTTTGTCAGCATGCTGGTTGATAATTAATATTTTACTAGGGAAGCTTTTAGCGGTTAAAACTAATCAAGCAGCAGGTGGCTCACCTTCCAGCTGGCTGTGCAGTGCCACTCTCCATTCTCACTTTTGTCCCAAACCTGAGAGAAAAAAGACACATGTCAAATATGCAGAAATATTGCTGTTATGAAAGCTACCATATACACTTATGAAGCTGGTAGCATAGCTCTGTACTTCAAGGTCCCGAATTGGTTTACAACTTAAAGTTAATGTTAAATTACACCCTCTAAATTTCACATGTACTATACCTTCTATGCTATACATTAAAACTGTGCTACACAGTTTACCTGCAGCTAACGTTACCCTAGCTTGTATGCTACAGGGATTGTGGCTAGCAAAGTAGCTAAATTCATTAAGGTAAAGCTGAATTCGATAGTCAGACTTAGCAGCAAATTTAGGAAATGACCTAACGTTACGACGGTCTACTACTGGTGGAAAAACGAGAGTCCATAAATCAAGTAGGGAGCTAAGGGTATTGATAATGTTGGTGATGTTAACAGCTAGCTGTGACAGCTAACGCTAACATTAGCAAACTGGAGAATACTTCATGTTAGCTTCCGTTACCTTTACACTTTGGTCACTGGAACATGTTGCCATTCTCCGGCCGTGGAAATCGTACGACACATCGTGTATTAGATCTTTATGGTCTGCTGCGATACTGCGCGCTACAAACATGATTTCATCCAGGCTACACCAGCAACACTAGCTTGACTGGTTGCCCAGTAGGCCTGTCATGTGTCCACTTCTGTGTGTGTATGTTTGGCGGTTCCTCGTAGTGTGCGTGCACCTGAGTTCACCACAGAGGGGCGCATTCACACCAATTTTAGGTCAGTCATGTTTTAGGGTGCTTTATAATAACATGTATGTTAAAACTAGTTATGTCGAACTAAAGGCAACATAATGTAATTTTTAAAACGTATATAAAAAACCCACGACGTTTCTTGACATAAAAAAATCGCAAACTGCAGTAAGTGACATCTTGTTACGTGTTTGCTCAAATGCCCTCCTCCTGTCACCGGGGTTGCCAGGTTTGGTAAAATATTGACTTTAACTAAAATAGAACACTTTAAAACAAGAGAAGTGTAAACAAAAACTTTTGTAAAACGTTTATGTTGTATTGTATGCTATTTTAGTTATTATTCTAATCTTTCCTTTTCTGCAATGTGAAACAATAAATAAATATTAAAAATAATTTTGGTCAGGTTAAACTAGCCTAAAAATTAAAATACAATTTACTGCAAGGGTCAGTGTTGATATATGTCGATATGTAAAATAAAACATCCACACAGCACTATGTAACTCGATTTGTTTTTTTAAATAATAATAATTTTTTGGTAGGTTGACAAAAACACGGAACTGGCAACCCGACGTGCATGCAGTATTGTGCAGGAGCAGCAGACTCCCCGCAGGGATCCCCAGGGTTACACACAATGCTGTTTAGATGGCTGACAGAAAGGAGTAACTTAGTGAACGGTGTTGCAAACACTCTGTGATCATCCAGCAAGTGTCTCGGGGCAGTAATTACGATACAATGGAGCAAGAATTTGAAGACATTGATTCGTCCGGGAGATGGCAAAACCTTTACAATGTAAGTCGGGACACTGGGCCTCTCGTGTTTCTATGACGATCGCTTGCTAACTTACTTGGCAAGCTAATTTGATAGCTAGCCCGTTAGACACCTTTCCCAGTATTTGGTTTACTTTTAGTCCTCTGTGTGAGTCATGTAATTGTGTTCACTTATAGACCTTATCGCATTGTGTAGAGGTTATATAAAGTACTATGCCCTTAGAGAAGACGAATGAGAAACTAGCATTTCGCGCTAGTAGTGGCTGACTTCCGTAGCTAGAGAGCTGGCAGCTAGAAAACGTGCAGCGGCAGAGTCTTCATAGTTGGGCTCAGTTAGCTAATGCTGGATGACGCTAGCAGACGTCAGCTGCAGTTTCTGAGAACTCATCAGGACTTCCAGAGAAAAGCGCATGTGTTTTACCACCAGCTGGCTCAGAGAGACCAACCTTTACTTTATAATAAATCTGTTCCGGTTTAACTGTAACTATGAGTCGTAATATGTAGGTACAAACCGGAGGATAACATGTAATTGGAGATGTTTTGGAGCTAATAGCTAGCTTGTTTGGAAGTTACAGAGAAAATGTCAAACTTAAACTACTAGTGTTACATCATAAACAATCAGTTTGTTGATGGAAGAAGATTATGAGTCTTGTCACAGTAGATAGATTTAGCTGGATAAATTGTCCCTGGCTTGTGAAGGGAAAATATGTCTTGTAGTTGATAGAGAAATCATTTTAGAACTTTTATCCCCTTTGTTTTCCTGAAAACTAAAGAAATGAAAGCTCCACAACTATTCAGAATGTAAATATTATATACTAGAAGTGGAATTGTTAAAAGTCTAAACTATTCTTGTTCCTGTAAAAGTTTAGTTGGCTTTTGTGTTGCGTTTAACAGCAAAATAGTTGATGTTTAACCATCACTTCCGAAGAAAGAGATGAGAAACATATACTCCAATTGTGGCTTGAAGATGATATTTGTCTGCACCTTACACACACACACCATGAAAAACATATGTAGTAAAAAAAAAAAATTCACTCAACTGAGTCATTTAACAGACGATGATCAGAACAAAGCACTGCAGCACATGTCAGTTATAGATGGCAGTTCCAGCGAATTTAGCGCAAAACACAGACCCTTTATCAGTATGTGTGGTATTTGTATGAATGTTGTCAGTATTACTTGGCGCCGCTTTAGTCAGGCAGGAGGTGGATATCATACATATCCACCAGTTTGTCTCACACTGTGTCTCCCATTGCTGTTAAATCTTAGTCAACATAATGTGATACTTCTAACATCCTATTTGTCTTTTTGTCTCCAACAGGAAATCCGCAACCAAGCCAGTGAATATCCCTACAAAGTGGCAAAACTTCCAGTGAATCGGAATTTGAACCGCTACAGAGATGTGAGCCCATGTGAGTCCTATGACAAATAAGATTGTTGATGAACATTTGAATTATTGCCAATTGCGTCTTTGTGATTTATAATTGCTCTGTCTCTCGTTTGGTTTCAGATGATCACAGTCGGGTAAAACTTGAAAACTCTGAAAATGACTACATCAATGCAAGTCTAGTCATGGTGGAAGAAGCCCAAAGAGCTTACATTCTTTCTCAGGTACAGCAGAGCACAAGCAGTGTCAGTGTCTGCACCAGGATACAGGATTTCACTCTGATGTTTTGGAGCTTTTGATAATGTCAGGATCCTTTCTTCTATGTACATTTCTTTCTTTTGCTTCCACAGGGGCCTTTGAGGAATACCTGTGGTCATTTCTGGCTGATGATTTGGGAGCAGTGTTCCAAAGCTGTTATAATGCTCAACAGAGTCATTGAAAAGGGATCTGTGAGTACTGTACACCACAACACTTGCTGATCACTGATTTCCATGCTGTCTGTTTTAAGGTGTCATATCTTGATAGTATTAACTGCCACACACAGAGCACTTTGTATACATTGTCTGTATTAGTTTGGCTTTATCTGTCATTCTTTCATCCACTGAGACAGATTTTTTCTGTATTTAAATGTTATATGAATTTGCTGACAAAGTTACATTTTATACTTACATTAATGTTTTTGTTTACGTGATAAAAAAAATAATTTTGTTGTTAGGCAACCTACTAAAAAGTCCTGATAGGCTGGAAATGTATGAGCTTCTAGTTTCACTCAGATTAATGCATTCAAGGGCAAACTGTATCACACATTTTTTTTTAGAAAAAATAACACCTGAACTTGCTTATTCTGGTCATCTATTGCTCCTCTATAAAGATTTTACAACAAAAGCACTACATCATTGAACTTAACCTCAGTAACTTTTTCACAAGATTCTTTTAAGCCCCAAATGATCACTTCAGACATGTTAGAAAGGCTCTGCTTTGGATAAGGATTTGTGTCCAATATAGTTTTTCTACACAAAAATGGAACCTCCCAAATAGGAAGCAACAATCCAAATAGACAGTAAACATGGAGGGGACTCCGGGGAGGCACAAGAACATAAACAAGTCTTGGTTCTCAAGGAGGAGAAACTGGTGGCGTTGTGGAGTGAACAAGAGTCTGTTTAATTCAGCATGTACCTAATCCACCAACCAGCATTTTTCTTTAGTGAGAAATCTTAATTTTTGAAATGGGTCGCCTCTCATTCCCATGCTCTCCTCCCACTAAAATAAAATACCTAACCAACAGAGGTTGTTGCGAATTGAGAGGACAAAATCCAAAATGTGAAGTTTGTAGGCAAATACAGTTTATCTTTATGGATTATAATGATGCTGAATTGACAATTGACCCCGCAAGATCCCGAGTCTTTCCAAAATTATACAGTGTGTGACTAAAAACTCACATTGTCTTTAGATGTGAGAGGGTGTCAGACTTAAGTCTTTTAAGCATTTTTCAGAGTCCTCTAGTGTATGGTAAGCATTAGTTGCATATTCCAAAACTAGTTGAGACGTTACAAAATCCTCCTCATACATTCAAGTGTTAATCCCTTCAGCAGATAAATGGGAAAGTAAACACAGCATTCTATAAAAGAAAGCTCAAACATCAGGTGAAAGAACGGTAAGATATTTAACACATTTTTAAGTGGAACTTGCCCCAAGACTTTTATACATTCTGGTGAGGGTAGAGGGTTAAAGTCAGCTACATATTTTGCAATGCTTTGTGGGATCGGCTCGTTTATGACTTGTGGAAACAAGCTGCCAAGTCCTTTTGAGTTTCATATCACAGTGCTGTTGATGATAACGACCCTGAGGGTAAGTAACATGATAAAATTGTTGTTTGTACACAGCACATTCCGTCACATTGGTAAGTGGTATTTCTTGGTAAAGATGGATTCCCTGTTCCATGATTTCATGGAACAGTTCTGTGATCGCTCACTGATGTATCCTCAATTAATGTGCATTTATCCTGCAAAACTTCAGCCAGCTCATTCTTTAGCAGCCTGGGACACATGGCTTCCTGTCAAAGACTAATTTTCTTTCTTTCTTTTTTCTGTCTTAACAGGAAAAATGTGCACAGTACTGGCCCACTACAGAAGAGATACAGATGTCTTTCACAGACACAGGGTTTGTTGTCAGGCTACTTTCAGAGGAGGACCAATCCTACTTTACAATCCGAGTGCTAGAACTGCAAAACACAACGGTGAGCATGAGACGCACACTGTTAGATAATCTTTCTTTTTTTTTAAATGCAGAGTTGTGCAATTTCAGTCATATTTTGTGAGGTGAATTTGTTCCTTCCCTTGCTTTGCTTGCATTACCTAATCCAGACTTCATTTGTGGGGCAGCTACTGTCTCTGAGCCTGTCTTGACTTGTATTATCTTGAGTGTTCATAAGTATCGTGAGAACCAGCATCTGAGTCTGGAGATGATAAATGCTGGGATTTCATGGGTTGTGTGATGTTTTACTTGTGGAAAATCAGCCCAGTCATGCAGAACTGCATCTATACAATACTCATTACATGTTTTCTGTGGCAGACGGGGGAGTCGAGGGAGATCTACCACTTTCACTACACCACGTGGCCTGACTTTGGTGTCCCAGAATCTCCGGCCTCCTTCCTCAACTTCCTATTAAAGGTTCGGGAGTCGGGCTCATTGGGACCGGAGCACGGGCCTTCGGTGGTGCACTGCAGCGCTGGGATCGGACGCTCAGGGACCCTTGCCTTGGTGGACACCTGCCTGGTTCTGGTGAGAACAGGGAGGGGGGAATGTCACCAAATGCAGTCAGTGTTAGAAGGAAGTGTTTCCCTTCTGTTAAAGTTGAATGCAAAGAGTTAAAATATTACTCAAGAGATTCAAGCTTTGGCAAGAGAGTAAGATGAGATGTTCATTTTATGATTATACTTGGTGAGAGCAGCAAAGGGAGAAGTTGTGACATGTTGGTGTTATGGTTAAATGCATAGATCATTTTTCATGCATTAAGAAGAAAAGAAAAGGTTCCCACAGTTATGATATTCCAGGAAAAGTTATGAGATTACCAAAACTGATTTGCAGGCCTGTAAATGGTTTGGAATTAACACAATATTTTTGAAAAGTTTTGAATATACACTGTGTTTTGTATTGTTTAAAATATGCTCATAAAAATCCCTAGAACATGTCTTACGTTAGGTGAAATATGTTCCTTGTATCACTGGTGACAGTTACTAATGATGGATAGCTAACGTAAGCTTGAGTGGAAGGCTGAGGCAGTACAGTCGTACAGTATAGCAGCATCAGACTGTCATCTCCAGCGACAGTCTCAGCCTGTGGATCAGACAGTTAGCTAAAAAGTCACGTATGTACAGATAACACTTAGCCTAAGTATACCTGGTAGTAACTGTAATGTGGTTATTGAATTTAGGAATAGCATTACATTGCATTGATGCACGTACAGCATTTTAAAGTCGATTGCTGCTCCAAGAAGCTGCATGAGAATTTCCAAGTTTGATTTAAATCGTATTGATTATTAGAATAGAATAAGGAGCATGTCTAAATCATATGGGACATGTGTAGATATCAAAATAACAGTTGATAGTGAGCCTACTTAGATCCACACCATTGTACAAAATGACGCACAGACCAACCCAGAATGCAACCTGAGTTGATATCCTTTGGATTCAGTCCTAATAGTGTCTCCGGTATCATGATCCCTGAGAACTTGTGAAAACCCCTCAACTTCTCCTACATACATGATTACAGACATGATATTAGCCTGGGTTAATGTCATGTTCAAGCTACAGTTAGTAACTTATATAAACAATAACATTTTTGATATTTGCTGAAATTGTCACTATATTTAAGCAGAATACCAAGTGCTACCCACCAGCTGGACAAACTTTCTCATATAACAGCTAAACAGTACACAAAAATATGTTTGGCAGTTAGACCACAGTTAACGGAGCAATTGACATTATTGACAGTAGCGTGAGAGACTCTCCAGCTCTGCTTGGTTGTTGCTGCTGCAGGTCTGATTCTGACAAATGCCATTAGAGGCAGTAGGAGGGGAGGAGGCAGAAGGGACATGATGTTTTTTACAGACTGTCTCATGTACCTCTTTCAGAACATTGTGACATTTTTGGCAAATATAAAGCAAAGTGATTTTGATCAAAATTACCAACTGTAGCTTTAACCTGTCTGAACATTTCAGTATTTAGTGAAAACATAAGCTTAACTTTCATCTGTATTCTAAACACGTTAATCTGTTGTGCAGATGGACAGGAGGAAGAACCCGTCGTCAGTGGACATACAGAAGGTGCTACTGGACATGAGGGAATACCGCATGGGTCTGATCCAGACCCCCGACCAGCTCCGCTTCTCCTACATGGCTGTCATTGAGGGCGCCAAGCTCCTCCAGACAGTCAACTCAGCAGCCCAGGTAGCTCAGTCACACTGTGTAACACTGTGCTTGTAAAATGTCTCAGGCTCATGCTCAGGCTTTTTTGAGATTTACACCGTGTTGGGGCGCTCCAGTGAAACTCTGTCATCTGAGACTAGACAGGTGACTGCCTAACTTTGCAACTTGATTCCATAAAATACAGGCTGTTGCTGAAACCAATGTGCAGTCTGTAGTATACAGATTTAGTTAACTGGCTAAATTAGGCATTGTTGCAGTTCCGAGCTTTATTTTAAAATCCATTATCAGGAGCAGGTAGAGGTGTCACGAGACACATTTTATTCCTCTGATATCATCAGCCTACGATGCAACTGAGAAATCAGCTGACCCATCTGGTAATAATATTGTTTCCTAACACCTTTACCTGCTTCTCTTGAAAGTTTGAAAGTAAAACTGATAGCTTGAAACTCCAACGATGCATTTGTCCGTTTTTGGAATTATCTTGCAGCATCAAAGTAAATTTTCGGACAAAATTCTAAGTCCACAACTGTGACAAAAAAAGCGGTCTGCTACTTGAATATTGTTGCAGTGTATTTGCCATCGAAAATCTGCACATAAAGCACAACAAAGAAACTCAAACAGATGCCAAAGATTGGAAGTTAAAAATTCTATTAAGAGTAGTGTAATGTAATGTAAGAGAAGCCATTTTAACAGTCTGCATTTGTATTTAATATTTTTTGCTGCATTTATGTAAATCTAGATTAGCTATTCTTAAATCTTTAGTCTGTAAACGAGAATTGTATAAACCCAAAGGCGACTTTGGTCATCTAGAGATTCACTCTTCATAAGTGTAGAATAAATGCCTTGCCTCTTGGGCAGTCCAAAGTATTTCCCATAGCTTGCCTCTGTCATAAGATAGTGTCTTTGTGTGTTGTCCCCTGCAGCAGAACAAGCAGAAGGTAATGTTCAGAGATGGCTTGGAGCCAGATCTGCCTCCTCCACCACCTCCACCCAGACCTCATCTTAACGACAGCAGGCCCAACGGTCAGCCAGGACCCTGCCCGGAGCCACAGGTCGCCTCAGGAGACCACCCGCCGGCAGGAGAGTCGGACAGCCAAGACCACAACATGGCAGAGAACTTAGGGCAGTAAGTAACAGCTCAGGGCTTCTTAAAGTGAACTTTGTCAGGCTTATTGTGAAAAAAAAGAACACAGTGGAAGATAAATTAAAATGTATTCATTGTACTTTGGACTCCACAGTGTTAAAGTTTTCAAGCTGTTTCCATCAGTGCAGTAAAATGTCACCTTTTAGACCTCAGTGAAACTGATGTGTAACCCTCCTACTGTTTTGTTTGTCACTGTTATATAACAATTTTTAAATTCTCTGGCACACAAGTGGGACTGTCTCTGAGATCAGCCGCATTTCAACCCAGAGTTCCAGGGGCAACTTTTCAATGACCTAAAAGATTCCTTCAGCCCAATTGTTATCTGAATTTCCATCCTGCTCCCAAGACCAGAGAAGATTAGGCAAGTTAGCGCAATGACGTAAGAAAAAGCAACATGACGGGACGAGGGCTGCTGGTGGTCACAGGGGTGAACACACTCTGCAGCCTGCAGTTCAGTGCACCCGCCCGTCTCATCTAAAAAACATACTGAAAAAAAAAAAAATCCACCTTAGGTTTTGTCTTACTGTTCCGTGTGCTCCGTTGTGCTCCGTTGTGTCACTGCAAGTTGCATGTATAATGAAATGCAGAGGAGGGAAATGAAACTAAGAGCTTCTGTCCCCACAGTAAATCATCTGTTGAGTGTTTAATGGTTTTCATTTGTGCTTTAAAACATAACCGCAGTCAAACAGTCAGAATATAACATTTTATTTCTCTCACTCACTGACCTTCTCACAGCACTGCAGCACCATCTCTCTCTCAATTCGTGATCTCTCCCTCTTGTTCTATCTGTCTTTCTTAAAATCAGTCAAGAAGCAGACAGCAAACATGCTGTGGGAGTTTGACTAATCAGTGACAATCATCCCTGCAAACGTCAGCCCGAAAGTTCCTCTTCTTTCTGAAAGTACTAACCCCCTGATCAGGGACTTTTGGGGGTCAAAGAATGTCCCAGAACTTAATTTAGATCCCTGGTCCCAGAGGTTGAAATGCACTGAGTTCCTCAGAAGGTTCCTAGTCCCTTAGGAAAGTTTCTGTGGTCGAAAAGAGGATATGTTGGGATTTCCATATTGTTGTTTGCTGACTACTTACGGTTAACTGACTCTTATTTCAGTGTAAGAAAGCGACACCGTGAGGAGAGGATTGCCAGCACCTCACAGAAGGTCCAGCTGATGAAACAGAGACTGACTGACTCGGAGAGGAAACGAGACAAATGGCTGTACTGGAGACCCATTCTGCTCAACGTCGGTGCTGGGGCGGCTTTGGCTGTCGGCCTGCTGGTGTGCTGGATGTACTCCCAGTGAAAAACTCTGGGTCATTTAAAACTGACTCCTATTTTGCACCAGTACCTGGGAGTAGGTACTTCTCTAAGTAGATGTAGATGGTAATATGTGCATAACTGAGGGTATTTATTTCTTAAGGTCAAAATGTGGGAGCTCTAGATCAAATGATTGTGTGTATATTTTTCATTAAGATCTTAACAAAAATAGTAACATCTCAGGATCTTGGTGCCAGCACGATGATTTCATTTCCTTTCCTTCTTGTCACTGTTGATGAATGTACTGTATCATAACAAATGGCTTTGAAAGAAACGTACTAAAGGTGCAGTACAAAGCAACAAAAAAAAAATCTGACAGGTTTGTTTTTGCATTCTTTATTTGTAATGGTCAGATGTGTGTTGGTCATCTGCGGACACGTTTTACATTTTGCATTTCAAAATGACTTGTGTTGACAGTCCATCGTACCACAGATATGTAGGAAGGCTCCAGAGGTCAGCTATGGGATTTTTTTGTTGTTCTGTAATGAAATTTGCATATCATGCATGCATTTCGAGGTTTTCCAGAGCACCACTTGTTCTTCCATTCACATTCGGCAGGGCATCCCAATATGGCCAGATATATATTTTTGTGTGACTGGACACTTCATAGGGAGCCGCCTTGCTGATGTTTCAAACTCTGCTAGAATGTTAACCTTTTTATTTTCTGTTAAACGAGCACCTTTTTTTCATAGGTTTTGGTCGGATCATACAAGCTGTCAGGTCCTTCACCGCTTACTGCGTGTATTTACCCACTGGATGGGTTTGTGTGTGTATTTTCAGGTTGTCCCACTGTTGTTTTTGAGGAAACCAAAGCAAAGCTGTCCGTTTTTGGAAGGCCAGGCAAGCTGTTAAATGACAAAACCCTGTACTCCCATTATGTGGAATGTATTTTCCGTTGGATCTCTGACATAAAACACAACTAACTGCATCACAAAATGATAGTCAAAGTAGCTTTGCATTGTGTACGACTTCTTAATTTGAACCCACAGAATCACCGAATTGGTTTTCAATTGACTGGGACCTATGTAAAGCTATACCAGTGCAATTTAGACATTGAAGCAGAGGATATTTGGATTAAATTCTAGTAAGGAGAGATGTTAGTACCTGCTTGTTTGCTGGTTGAGATAGCTTTTAATGTGCCTTGAAGTGAACTAAATGGCAAAATGTATGCTCCAAGGTTTCCTAGCATGATCAGTACAAAAAAAGGTTTATGTGAGCTTTTGTTTTCCACATAACATGAGTAACATGTTTGCACAGCATCAATTGGTTTGTAGTAACTGGAGGTGTGATGCAGTAAATTTTATCAGAGTTCACTGTACACCAAATGTGTCATAAGCATGTACTGACTTTTGAAGTGACATACGTTGCTGATTGGCGAGTTACCACTGTTGGACATGGCTTTTTACTTAGTTCTCATTTAACCCGGAAGAGACACGTTTGACCATAACATTCCATTCAGTCGGTTTTTTTTTCCACATAAGATTTCAGGGGAGTTTTGTAAGCTGCTGAGCTGCAGTGAGAACATGATGGATGGCGTTTTGAAAAAAGCAAACAAAACATGAAATACTTCTTAAAATAAAACATTCATCTTTTTTTACCAAATGCTCTTTGTCTGGCTGTGTTTTTGTCAGTAGAGCAGCTTTACTGTGTCCACCCACAGCTTTCCACAGCCCTGCACTGCTGTGCTCAGTTACAGTCATAATTTCATTCTGACCATGAGCTAAATCAATGGAGGCAGACTGGAGGCCTCTCACCGTGGATTCCAGGAATTGATTCAATATTTCAAGAAGAGGCCCTGCTCATATTGACTGCTGTAGTAATTTCATTTTCTCTTGTCTGTGGGATGGTATTGGCGTGTGTGGAGGGGGAAGTACTGTCTTTGTTGTGTAATCCACTAAAACCTACAGAATACAGATTTATTTTTCAATTGAGTACTTTAAACGTAATAATCATTATAATACTATGTATTACGTAAAGATGATAGTTAAAATGATTATAACACAAAATGGTAGGTCTGGTATGAAATAATATCATCTACAGGGTTTGACAGTGCACGGACTACAATTTGGACTACAAAACGGTCCTTTGCTGGCTGTCGCAGGTCACACGGCAACAGAGCGACCGATACAATCCCTGAATAAAATGGCAAATGTTTTATCAGGCTAAAACAAATAAAAGTAAATTAAACGTCCCCTAAAATAAATTATCTCATAAGTGATGTCCAGCTTGAGTATACTGTTTCGTTTAAGGACAGAATTGTTGAATACAACAACAATTTTGAGGACAGGACATCGCCAGGCATCAGTGGAGCCGCACTCCCGCCTGCTTTTCCGCCACAGTTTAAACTGGCAGTTGTTGCTAACTTCCACGGACTGGCTGTCATAGAAATGTTATTATGTTACAGACGACAAATGTGTGCAAATATTGCTCAAGCACACGTTTATCGTTCCTGAAAGAACCATATTACTAACTTAGCTTATTGTTTTTGGTCAAAACTTGCCAGAGTTCGTCAACAGTAATGTCTCTGCCTCCAGAGAAAGCTTCCGAGCTGAAGCAAATCATTCACAACCATCTGCTCAAGGTGAGCAACATACGTAGCTTTTACTTTAGTGTGTTGGCGCTGTCAGACATTGTCCTGTTATATGCTGTCAGTTTTAAGATACACGGTTTAATATGACTTATGTGTTATCTGAAGTGAGACTCACAAGCCAAATGCTATTCAAACATTTATCAAATTAATGTCTACTTCCTTATTGACGAAAGTGCACACATGATAGATCATATTTTATGATATAGCACCACTAAACTCTGTCTTTTATTAAGTTTGGCTGTACTAAATATGTATGTGATGTCATTATTCAAACATTAGTCGGTTGTTAGTTCCAAGCTAAGCTATTAAAGGAATTGCTTGTTTAATGTTAGCCTACAGAGGTCTGTGAATCAGACTGTTCTCTGAAGTGCAGCACAAATAGGTCAGATGAGTAGCAGTAGGTAGAGATGCACTTATACATTAATGGACAGTATTAGAATTAAAGTAATAGTATCTTGGTCCTGTGTGATTTCTCCTGGTATCTGGTTCACTATGGAACCATTAATATGCTGTTTACATTAAGATATTAATGTCTGACAATCATACTCTAAGTTGAAACTGTATTTGCACTAAGATTCTAATGAAATCCCGAGACCTATACTTTCCTATAGTCCTACTGATATCGAGGAAAAAAACTGATAGATTACAAGCATAATATTGGAGCAATGTGATGGCTGCGACAGTCCATTTTTATTAATATTGAATTTGGTGTGGGGTGGGAAAACCAAAGATGCACAATTAACCTTAAATGACAGGGAGTCTGTCTTCACAAGATATTCAGATACCTCAAAGATCAATGGTGAGACATGTGTTTGTGACTCTTGTTTAGGTGAAGTGTATGGTGTTTATTGTGTCTTTTGTGTGTTATCAGATGGACATCCATGGGAAGATCCGAGAGGTGCTGGCTGAGACTGTGAGGGATGACCAAGGCCCAGCACATCGATCTCTGTCTGAGGTGGATTTCCTTCATGCTCTACAGCGCAGGGGTATCATAGATGATGTAATGAAGGACCTCCACTTTACCCAGGTTGGTCAGTACTGAACAGTCAATTTTCAAATTTACATACTTGAAGATTAAGCTGACAGCAGCTAATTTTCATAAACTAGATTCAAAATTGAAAATAGACTTCCTAACTGAATGTAAATAGCAACTTTCTTGACTCATTTTAGTGTTTAGATACTCATTTGAAACCAGATAGGGATGAAAATATCTCCGTTGTATGAACTGTATGATTTCAATCACCATCTGACTGTTTGGCATTTTTATCATGTCGGCATTCTCTGGTAGGAAGTACCCATGGATGCAGAAACAGGATCCCCTCCAAAACCTGCTACTCACTTTGTTGACAAGAATATTACTCAACTGAAAAAAAGTAAGGAGCATCATCAAGTTGTCCTTGTTAATGTTGGAACGGTTTAACTAAGACAGTCTTTTTTTTCTTTCAGCCAATATTGACCCATCCAGGCGGTACCTGTATCTCCAAGTGCTTGGTGGTAAGGCCTTTCTGGAGCATCTCCAGGAGCCAGAGCCTTTACCTGGTCAGGTGTGTTCTACATTTACACTCTACCTGCACTTCCGCAACCAGAGATTCCGCTCAAAGCCAGTGCCCTGTGCCTGCGAACCTGACCTGAAGGAGGGTTTCCTCTTAGAAATCCACAGAGATGGCACAGGTACATGTAAACTCTTACTGTTGGTGTCCGTAAGTCAGGACCAACGGTTCTTTATGCATTTGCTTTATGTTGCTAGATATATTTTCTATACTAAGATTGTAATTTTTTTTGCACTGCAGGAGAAGGCAGTAAAATGGCGGACGCAACCACCATGCTGTCTTTGTGTGACCCGGTTCACTTGGTGCTGATCAAGACGGACACCTCCAGTGAGACAACGCTGGTCTCGTCCTACTTCCTTGACTGGAGGACGGTCCTCAGCTCTCCTGGTGGAAGGACCTGCTTTGCTGTGGAGCTGATGGGAGTTGGTGAGAGAGGGTGATTCTGCTGCATTGAATACAAGAGTGATAGTGTTTACTGAATTATTAATGTCTTTATTTAAAGACATTAATAATACATTTTAAAATATATATAATAATACCTTTTAAAATAAATATAAATATATATTAATACCTTTTAAAAAGGTAATATCTCAATGGCTAAGAGTGAAGAATGATTGATGCAGTAGTAAAATAGTAGTAGTCCGTATGGTGTCATGCATATAAAAGTGACCAGATAAAATTGAAATTAAACACCAAAAAAAACAACTGTTAAAGTGGTGAAACATTAGTCAGAAAACAAACAGTAACATTAAATTCCAAATAAAGAATTACTCATCTCCCACCATACTTTACAAGTATAATCTGCCAAGAAAAGCTCCTTTCCTAAAACACAAGTTTTTCACAATCAACCAATGAATGCAGTTGTGCACACACACATCTTCCAGTTAAATCCTTTTTGACATTATGCTCTACACAGTGAAAAGTAACAAGCTTCAATTATTACTCTATTACGTAATTTCTCAAGAGAGTCCTAAAGTCATTCTTCTCTGGAACCACTGCAAGAAGAGCCATGTAATTCAAACCATTTTGTTTACAAATGGGTTTATTCACAAATCCATTACGTAAGTTGCATTGTAGAAACCAATTCAATTTGTAACTGATCATCCCAGCTACACAGAGAGCTTTTATATTTTTTGCAATCAAAACACGAGAAGACTATCTTTTTCTAAAACTCTAAGATTTCTTCACCCTAATGACCACTGAATATTGTTAGATATAAAATTTTGTCGTATTTTGTGGAGATAAAACAATAGGAAAATGTGGGTTTGCCTGCTGTACGTCCACTCTGTAAACAAAAAACAGCAAAACAAACCCATGTTGCATGCTGCATCTGCGTCTGGGAGTCTGTTGCTAACTTCAGTTGATGCTGGACAGTATTTAATTTGACTTTTTCAAAGCGCGGTAATCAAATATGGTTTTAATGATAAATAAAAATTGAAACTGTAATACTAACTGTTGGGAATTCTCACACAGTTTATTGTGAACTGTAAACCACTTCATCCCTGGAGTTTTACAATCACGATTATAGAAAAGTAATTAAAAAAAAAATCTAAATATGAGTAGCAAAAACTATTTTTCTTCTTTTTTTGTCCCATTAATTATCTTGTGACTCCATGCAGGGGTCCTAGCCCCCAGGCTGGGAAACAACGCTGTGCAGTATTAACAGTTCTATCTGTAAATTACTAAGCATATGCCAGAAATGTAAGATTTTTGAAATTAATCTGTTGTGTTGTCTCTTCCCAGCTTTAAGTGATGTGCCAACAGGTTTCACTGACATGTATGTGTGTCTCCAGGAAGTGAATGTAAAGTCCCAGCTGGTGTTTTGACTGTCAGCTTGGAGCTCTACCCTCCGCTCACAGAGACTCTGAGCACTGACATCATCAGCACACAGGTCAGCCCACTGGAGTCTTTTTATCTCTGTCTGTTGATTCATCGGCTTCATTATTCATGAATAAAGTAACTCTGTGAAGTGATTGTGAATCACTACAACAGAATTCCATTAATGCTGTTAGGAATCAATCTTCCTCAGAGTTGATGCGAAGGCAGCAGCAAAGCTATAAATGTATTAAGTGATATCACTGTGTGTTTCTCATTTAGCAATCACTGGAGAGGCAGAGGACGGCAGAGAAGGAGAGACTCTTCCTGGTTTACGCTAAACAGTGGTGGAGGGAGTTCCTTGAGATTCGTCCATCACACCAATCCAAAATGGTCAAGATTTTTGCACAGGTTCGTCTAAATTCACATGTTGAAGGGAGAAATATAAATCTTTATTTGACAACGTTTGCTTACTTTTAAGGACATTTTTCTGTACTCCTTTGTATTAGACCTGTGGAGTGAATGGGTTACATACAGTATATGCAGACACTGACTAGGGAGTCCCTCAGAATAACCTAATTCATTTGCTGTTTGCCACTCATACACTGGTTTACTGTGTTAGTGGTTTGGGGAGAGGACTGCTCATA